TTATTTAAATTAAGTAAGCTTATTAGGAATAATAATATATTCGTTTAAGTATTTAATATAATTAATGCATAGGACTCAAATTTAAAATTCTTAATTAAAATAAAATAATCCGATGACAATTAATAGATCTCTATTATGCAGTATTTTTTTAAATAATATAAATTATATCTATTCTTTGTAAGAGGAAATTCTGCGCAAGATAAATATCATCAACACAGGCAACGATACTCTTCTCTCAATTATTTAGTGCTTTTGTATATCTAAGACTAAAACTCGAAAAAGTAAGAATTATTAATTTTTATAAAAATTAATTTAAAATTTATATTTATTGTATATTTTAATTAGTCTATAATGTAAAAAAAATTTACCGATGCTAAAATTAAACATCTTTATTAAATATTTTTATTTTAATATTCAATTAAAAATAATAAAAGGTATAAATTATTGGAAATTTCTCTTAAAAAATAATGAGTTTAATTCACGAATTAATAAAACTATAGTCTTTTTGGTTAGCAAAAAACTTTTAGCGTAAAAGATGATGTCTTAATCAAAGTAGAGAAAACTTTCGAATATAAAGAATATTTACCAAAGATTTTACTGTGATCAATCTTATTATATTACATTTCTCTAAATCACGACTTTACTGTGAAAAATGTTTTTATTTTTGTAAAACTTTTAAGTTATTCGTTTGACATTATTTTTGTATGCTGTTTAATATTTTAATTTCTTATACTATTAAAATAATAATTTTTTATTAAAATTATATTTGTCTCTTCAAAATCATCTACTTATACTCTCATGTTAATTGATAAATTTCAATTTTATTTTTTAATATTAAATTAGAATAAACTGTTTAAAAATTGACTTAATATTTTTCTTGTTTTTTTCAAAGAGTAACTTATGTCATCCTGAGTCTTTTGTAAAATAAAATAAATTTAACTTTTAAAGATTATTTATGCATACCGATTATTCTTTCATATGTGAATGTTCACATATATAGGAAATGACTCAAGTGAGAACATTTAATTATTATAAAAATAAAAATAAACGGTTAAATTTTATTTAAATAATTAAGATAAAAAAAAATACACGTTTATATGGTTGATATATATATATATATATAACCCGTTCAACAATATTCATTACATTTATTTATCTCATGAGATCGAAGTGCTGAACGAATCATTGCATGTGACTTGAAATTTGAATGCTGCATGGACATATATTTTCAAGACGCGGATTCATATAATTCTTAAAAGAGATCTGCAAAACTTGAAGACAGTGTTTTCTCTTGTGAGCTATTTCTTTGGTGTGGGGCAGAGTGAAAAAACAGTTATGAGGTTAATATTGTACGTATACCTAACATGATTTTGATGAAATTAAATTATAACGTAGTTATAGCAAATAATTAGCATATAATCAAGATCATTTGAAGAAAGTAGAGGCACACTTGATACATTATAAGCGAGGATGTGATAGGTTGGCTTGCATAATATATATGATATTGAGCATAGAATTAATATTAGTTTCGTAAGCTCCTAGTTAAATAACAAATTAATAATAATAGTATTTAGTGAACTAGTAGTTGTAGCTAGCATATAACTATATATATACCTGTATACTAGTAGCAGCAGATCTAATTAATTAGCCCCCAGTTGTTCTATATATATAGTTAGGACTTTAATAACCAGTCATCGATCGAATCGCATAATCTACATTTTTTCTGATTCATTCAAAGGAATGCCAGTTGGGTTTGGATTTTTCTTCACTAAATTAATAATTTAATACTCGCATATCAAATATTGGTAGTGGAACTATAGTAAACATTGATGGAATGACTCAAAATCTTATTAGAATGGTAATTAACAAATACTATGGTGTTAGCGATATTCCGCGGAAGGGAGACCCAAGAAAAAAATGGAAGAAAACCTAGAGAATGTCTTATCGAGATGTGGTCAAATGGTTAATTATTACTTTGTCACAGTGAAAAATAAGCATGTCATCCAAGAAAGTTAAATAATGGGTAAACCAAAAATGATAATATAATTAAATTTTAAAATAATATTATTCTCACAAACACATTTTATCACGTCGATTATTTTATTATACTTGTCTTTTTTTATATTTTCCTCTTTTTTGTTTGTAAATAATATTGTATAAAAAACGAGTACAAATACAATTATTGTGAAATTAAATTTGAATACTTTTTTCACTCTTATACCTTTGTTAACGCAAAAAAAAAAAAAAAAATTCTGAAAATATAAACTTTCATCAACTATGGTAGTAAACATGATATAGGTAGTAAACCTCCTACATCATGATTCAGCTCATTCTAATCTTGTTATTTCAAAACTTACAAAACAGGTCACAAACTTTTTTTTAAATATGATTGTTAATGCAATTCCATCACCTATTGTTATTTTTAGTTTTATTTTAATAGTTACGGTAGAACTGTAAAAAAAATCATAACTTTAAGAGTATTATTATAGATTTTAAATTCTTAAAAAAATTTCAACAACAAACAATACATCCATAAATTATAATAAAAGAGAGTGTTTTAAATTTATTGTTCCCACTGAAAGTATAACCACGATGACCTATCACTAATGTTCTTTGAATGTTCCTTAATTAATTTATATAAATGAATGTTTGAGAATTTAGTTTCTTCAATATATTTCTTAATTAAATTATATTAAAATAATTACTATTTATTTAATAAATTGTTATTACTATCCAATAATTAAACAATAATTATAATTTTTTTATTTATATGTTACCTTAATGATTATAGAAAACAATAAAATAAATCAAACATTAAAAAATAGTAAATATATTTCATTATTTTACTAATAGTATATTCATGTGTTAATTAATTGACTAAGATTTATCTTTGAGTGACTAGTTCAATAATAATAATATCATCAAAATATATCATAAGAATCTACTTTAACCTCGTAACAAGAGATATTTAGTTAGACATAATTATAAGATGAAAGCAAATGAGATTAAACACAAAACATCTATTATAATAATAAATAATAACAAAAAATTATAGTAATTGATATGTTTTATAACGAAAGCATAGCTCTGTGATGGATAAAGAGATTGAGAGAAGGATTGATCAAGTGTCTAGTATAAGTATTCCTTTATTGTAGTATGAAATTTAAAAAATATTAATTTTAACTTTTAAAAATATATAATTTATCCTCCATGAAGTATGTTTTGTCCATAAAAAAATTTATGACTTATCCATAAAGAAGCATACAATTTTTTGTTGTCAAGTTTGAATTTTATATTTAAATCTAAAATTCAAAATTTACTTTTTTTTATTTATTTCAACAAAATTTTTCTTATAAATTTGACTTTTTTTTAAAAAAAATGTATTGTTATTAATTCTTACAATAAAATAAAAAAGATTAGTTAATTTAAAAGATAAAATAACAAAATAAGATTTAAAATTAAAATATTAAAAATTAACAATACTTTTCAGCGGCAGCGTTGTATCATATCATCCTGAGATTTTTTATAGTAAAAATATGTGTAAAATAAAATACTCATTTGCATTAATTTAAAGTTAATTATACATAAATACTTAAATTTAAATTACTTCACATATTTGCTCATTTGAACATTTTTGTTCGTGTCATGATGGACATTGAAAGCTTAAACATTATGTTAAAATAAAAGTTTTATGCAGAGAGTCTTACATGAAATATTAAAATATATACTTAATTAAAATGAATGATAGTAAAAAAGAGAGTACCCTGTAGAGGGTCCTCGGGAAGGGATAAGTGTGAGAAGAATCGTGTGTGAATGGGAGATGATTACAGAATGGCCCTTTGTGTCGTGTGGTCACATGGATTCCTCTGCACTCTGGGTCTTGTCCGACGCCTGAACTAAGCTGTTTGTTTTCTTTATTTTTCATTTTCTCTTTTTTCTCCCCTTATTTGTTCTGTTTATAGATCTTTCTCCCAATCTCTGAGTCATCACCAGCTTTTCGTCATCTTTCTCTTTTTCATGTCCCAGTATCCGACCACATTATTACCAAATGAAACCCCGGACCCCGTAACACACATCAAATATTGTATCACCTTATCATAGATATATGTATCCAACTGCTTATTAAAGCAAAGACTCCTGCACAGTAAAAGGACAACCTTGTCCTTCACCTTGCCTTGGGGGTGTACCCTGCATTATTTCTTTTCTACGCTTTTGCCTTGTTTCCAACCAACCATTGCATCTTGTTTCTCAATTAATATTACATTCTTTTTGGATTTATATGTTAGTTTATTTTGTTTGTCATATACAATTTAATATGCTGGAGTTGGGATAAAGACTGTATTATTCACTGAATCAATTGAAGTTTCATATTTTAGGCGATATACTTAACATTACCCATCTTCAAAATGCAATTAGTCAGCTGTAAAAACGAAAAGAAAGTGGGAGTCATTTTGTGAATGACATAACACAAAACTAAACGCAGTATGTTTGAAATATATAGTACAGAGGCAGAGCAACCATTTAGATGATGTAGTTATTTAGTACAGAACAAGATGGAGTTTAGATATGTTATTGATAGAAAGATTGCAAAAAGACTAATATATGGCTATTATGATTGGAAGGGCAAGGAATAAATAAAGAAAACGCCAAAGAGAATCTCTCTGTCTGTGCGTGTGGTGGGTGTGCTTGGGTGTGGTTGGGTTCATGCGGTCAAGGAAGTGGTCTACAACTACAATGAAACCTCACGTGCAAGGGGCTGTAGCTTTTTGTTTGTTTGAAACTTTGAATAATAATCGTCTTTAAAGGCAGAGACCTTTCTTCCTAAGTCCATGATAAAAGGCCGCGTTTGTTTGGTCTTTTGGAAATGCAGGCTTTATGCCACGCTCAAGTTTCTCTCTTTTTATTTTGCTAAAATTCTTCCTCCTTCTTTCCCTCAAAGATTTAACCTCCAACCCATTCTCTGCTCTCTCAATTCTCTTTACAACTTGCACATAAAAATAATGGCACTAGAGGCTGTGGTTTTCCCACAAGATCCTTTTACTTATTGTTACAAGGATCATTTGTACTCCAACTATGGTTTCCAAGTAGCAGAAGAAGAGAAACTCCTTCTCGGAATCATCAATAACAACATAGAACAGAGTCTGCATGCAAATTGGGATTCTTCTTCCACCTCGATGATGCAAAATGTGAAGGACCAATGGGATTCTCACTCCTCCCCTGAAGCCTGCACCGTTGATCAGTCCATCACCGCACCTTTCCCTCTTCCTCCTTCTTCCACCACCACGGTTCGCCGTAAACGGCGTCGTAGCAAGAACGCGAAGAACAAGGAGGAAATCGAGAACCAGAGGATGACACACATTGCAGTTGAACGCAATCGCCGAAAACAGATGAATGAGTACCTTGCAGTGCTCCGTTCCTTGATGCCTTCTTCTTATGTTCAAAGGGTCAGTAACTTAATTTGTCCCACATATCCTAAGAATATAACTATAATACTCTTTATAATACTTTCAACAATCTTAATAAATTAGCTTTTAAGGAGGAGTTAGCGCTGATATTTTAACTAACTAATTAGATTAATTTCTGTTTGCTGAAATTGGCAATGCGAATTTACAAAACAGGGTGATCAAGCGTCTATTATTGGGGGTGCGATTAACTTTGTGAAGGAGCTAGAGCAGCTTTTGCAGTCCATGGAAAGTCAAAGGAAAACGAATGAGAATATTGGCTTAAATGGGTCATCACCCTTTGCGGAGTTCTTCACGTTTCCTCAGTACACAAAGCAGAGCAACAACGGAGGCGCCACGATGGCAGAGAACCAGGCCCAAAAACAATGGGCCGTGGCAGACATTGAAGTTACCATGGTGGATAGCCATGCCAACCTGAAGATACTCTCAAAGAAACGAACCGGGTTGCTTATGAAGATGGTTGTTGGGCTTCAAGGCCTCAGGTTCACCATTCTCCACCTTAATGTTACCACTCTCGACGATATGGCCCTTTACTCAGTTAGTGTAAAGGTTGGTTTCTTTCTTTAATTAGAATAATAATTTTAAAACCAAATTCTGAAGCTATCTATTTTTTAAAAAGAATTTTGGTGTATTTTTTGTATGAATTGATTGGAGCAGGTAGAGGACGGGTGTCAGCTGAACACGGTGGATGAAATTGCGGCTGCAGTGAATCAACTATTACGCAGGGTCCAAGAAGAAGTCACTTTTAACTGAATTAAACTTGAAATTAATTTTGTTTTAATTAAAAGAAAAAAGGTTTTGTATCCTTCTCTTGGTTGAGTAATTTCCATTGCAATGTTGGAGGGGGTTATCTATGGTGTGGTGTTTATTTTGTCCTAATCTATGTACCCTCTAATATAAGCAGTTGTGAAAACGAGTTTAATATCCATTATCCTAGTTCAACTGCCTAACAAGTGTGAGTGAAATACAAAAATATATTTCAATAAGCTTGAAGGTGATCTCTTACATTATTATGCTCTCAGTATGGTGCTTTTATTTTTTCTTTTCTCTGATAAAAATTGAATATATAATTAGAGTAGAAAAATATGTAAAGACTAAAGATGGTATTCTTAGCACTTGGTTCTCAAACGTGAATTATTACTCTGTGGGTGATTTTGATCCAGTGTCCTTGCTTTTCTCGGAATAGGAAATCGTTTGCACAGACCTATCCTCCAGAACGACACGGACATCGAGAATTCTTGTAGTGCCTTCAATTTGTTTAAAGGATTACTTTTTATCTATGTTATCTTTTCTTTTAATTTATTCTTTATATTATATACAAATTTATTTTTAATTTTACTTTTTCAGTATATTATAATAACCTTAACTCTTTTATATATATATATATATATATATATATATATATATATAATAAATAACTATCCTGATATGTTTAAATTTTTTTTAATCTTTGTTTAATATTTTTTATTTAGTCTTTATAGATAAAATATTTGTATATTAGTCTTTATAAAAAATTATTTTTAATTTCTCTCATTATTGTAATGATAATTTAATATCAATGCCAATGTAATATTTTTACATCATCTTCATGTAAGTATTCAAAATTCTTAAAAAATAAACCTCACATTTTGCTTTATATATATTTATATTTAATTTTATGTCTTAATTTATCTTTAAATGAGTATCTCTTCTAACATTTACATTTTTAAGATCTATCTTTTTGTGTTCCATTATATCTTACCATACTCTGTATCCTTTTTCTTGTTATCTTTATTTGAGTATTTTAAATCTTAGTTATGTCTTCCTAAGTTGTATCCAAATTTTAATTTTTTTTTTATCTTTTTTACATTTATAAAAAAATCATAATCACTCTTTAAATCATCACTATAAAGATGATAAAGAGAGATAAAAATTATTTTAAAAAAATGATAGAACAAATAAGTATTAATATTTAAAATAAAAATATTAGTGGTAATGCTCATTAAAAATTAATCAAAAAATAAAGTTTTCTCGAGATAATTTTTACACATACTGTATTTAAAGATATTAAAGCTTGACATCATGAATTAAAAATATATAAATCAGAATATAAAACTTCTTTAAAAAATTCAGAATTCTTTCATAAAGATGATAAAAAAATATCACTTGACACTAATATACAATTTTCTTTACCTATAAAAATTAAATTATAAACAAATATCTTATATAAGAACTAAAAGATAATTTAAAGATATCATAATAATAGTTATTTGTCATGTAATAAAGAAATTAGTATCATTATAACATATCGTAACGACAGAAACATAATTAAAGATAAATTTTTGTATAAAAAATTATGTAAATTTGTTATTTATAAAGGCTAAATTACAACACAATATCTTATATATATATATATATAGACTAAAACATCATTTATCCCTTATTTAAATTAATGATATTTTATGCATTTAGAAAATTTTATGAGGAACGTACCGAAATAATTGACATTTTTATTACTTTTTAAGTTATAATAATTTTTTATATATTAAATTCATTAATCTGTTTTTTAATGCTTATTAGGCATAATTACAATTTTTGTTTTTATATTTCAATGTTTTTGTAATTTTGATTTCATTAATTTTAATTATTCACATTTAATCTCTCAAATTAATTTTTTTACTTCAAAATTTTATCTAATAATTAATAAAAATATAATAAATTTGTGACATCTTATTGATTTATATAAATAAATATAGAAAATTTTTAAATGAAAATAAAATATAATAAAACTCTTTTGGAATAAAACTTATTTTAAGTATTTAAAAATTAAAATAATAAAATATGAACAATTAAAATATAAAAATAAAATTATACTATGCACCAAAAGTGTAATTAATTATTTTTATTTATAAGTTTTGTAGTCAAATTTAATAGTATAAATCTTTTATGAAGTAAAAATATCAAATAAGTATTTAATCAAGTTATTATTTAAATACCTCAATATTATTTTAAACAATTTTTAATAAAAATATGAATATACTAATTAAAGTCTTAATAATTTTGGTTAAAAATTAAAAATATATTGAAAATTACAAGAAAATGCATACTTGTGTTTTTTTAAGAAAAGATCTTTGTTTTGAATGAAAAAAACATCACTACATGTGATCTTACTATTATACATAACATATTTTTAATCATTTTAACAATTCGTTAATTTAATAAGTAGAATTAAATTTTTCAATAATTAATATTATTTTTGAAAATTATTCTTAATTTGTTTTATCTAATAATTAAAGTGAAAAGGAGAGAAAATGGTAATCATTAATCTCCTATTCTTAACATAGATTCAAAGTCTAAAAAGCTTAATTTACCACGTTTATTTAAGGTGCTTTCTTAAAAGAAAAATTATGTGTGTACATTTCAGAGGGAGTCTTGTAAAAAGGGTTAAAGCAAAATTTCTCAAAAGGTTGTATAAAATAGACCAAAGATAGAAATTTTTATATAGAGATATTAATTCTAGGAATATTTTATGTGAGAAAATTTGTTGGTACGTGAGATTGAGATGAACAAAATTAAACTATTAGTTGGCGTGTGTATGTATGTTAATTGTCATTTTACTTTTATTTTAATAATTTAAAATATAATATTTTTATTCACTAGGATAGATAAAAAATAAAACAATTTTATTAATGAAAAATTAAAACTTTAATAAAATAATTAATTGCAAAAAATATAAACTTCTTAAAAAATAAGTGGTTAAATAAAAATTCATAACATTTATTTAAAAAAAAGATATAACACACTCTTTATAAAAATTATGCAAATTTAACTCTTTCTCACTTTTAAATTATTATTTTTTATACTTTTTTAAAAATTTTAATAAATTTTAACTACGAAGTGTATTAAGAAAAATATAATACAAAAATTTATCTTTTATTTAAATCACAATATTTTTCACCTATTGTTATTTTCAAGATAAAGGAACAATGCATTGTGATCTATCGAATTATCCATCATTCTCCAAGATAAAAGTTTTTGCTCAATGGTTATGAAGTAAGTGCAGAAGGTGTAAAGAAAAAATGGGAAAAAAATCATCATTCAACTGTAGTAAATACTCGACTTAAAAGTAAAACTGGCTCGGTTCTTATCATTAGCAGCGAAACCAAAATAGGTGACGTCTTTTAACTTAGCTAAATTTCCAGGGTGCAATAAGTTGAGCGACTTGGTGGATTACGCAAGCACTTCCTCTCGTGCTTTTTACTTTCAAAAGGACAAGAAGGAAAATGGGAACAAAATAGGATTCAGATCTATATTGGGTTAATTTTTTTAAAATAATCAAGTACCTTTGCAGAATCATCACAAATAGTTGAAAGAAGCATTTAAGTTTCTTAGCGATTCATTAAATGAAATGGTAATTATATATACACCTTCCATATTGTCTTTCACGTGTGAATATTCTTTTACACTTTTTTCCTTTGTCTGTTTCGCGATTGCGCAACGTATCTAATGATGCCATCGTTTGGAATTGTGAAAAACAGAATGGGAGGGTTCTGTGTGCTAGGAATAATAGTACAAAATAATGATCTTTTTCTTGATCAACAACCCTTCACATCCCAGTGAAAGTAATGGGACATACCCATCAAACTAAGAGGCCTAAGATTCAACGTTTATGATCATTGTCTTCCGCTTCGTACCATCGAGGCTACAAGTTTCAACGGGTACTAGATGGCGTGACCAATATATATATATATATATATATATATATATATATATATATATGCTCATATAGCTCAGTTGCTTAACAAAATTTTTAGTCTGTAGTCTGTACCTTCAATCCGTCACCACACACACATGTACTTGAATCTCTATTTCATATATCAATAATTATGTTATGACATGTTTTATTCATAACTTCTTTAAAGCAAAAAACTACATGTCAGTGCTGCAGTACTCTTGGTTGCAATTAGCTAGGGGCCAATGGAAGACCCGTTAAATAAACGGATGCTATAGGTTATATAGACTAGTTCATCGATTATTTATAATATTGAACCATGCCATATGAGAAACATGATGACCCTTTGTGCAAGGTGCGCAATTGGTGGGTTGGTATTTGTATGTTTTCCCAAGGAGTAAGGATAGAACGTGTCGTTATGAGTTCATTCAACAAATTAAGATTTTGGATCGTTTTCTTTCATTTTCAGTGTGATATACAATATACAATGTGTTGCTCTATGCCCATAGATATATGTAGCTAGAATACTGTGCATATGTCATGCTAATGTGACATGCAGAGAATGTGTCCTCGATTGCTGCTGCGGACAATTTGGGTATGTGTAGACAAATCACGGTCAAGAAGTGTGAAGAGGATCATATACAAAATTATATTTATATTTAATAATTATAGAAAGCCTTGCTATATATATTGTCTTTACGTTCTTTATACATATACTTTATCCGCCAAAAACCACACAAGTGTCAAATGATGATGTTTATAGCCAAATTAATAAACTTTCACATCCAAGTCATGAATGATCCATTATATTTTGCTGTCACTTTAGGGAAAAAGGAAGGAGCTATAAAGTAACACCTATCTTGCCTTAAGAAGCTTTCCAAAGGGTGATCTCACGTCTCATTAATTATCCATTCGAATTCAATAATACACGAGACCTTTTTCCAATTGAAGCTATATGCCGAAGCTTATCAACAATGTATTGTTAATAAATTTTAAGTGCTCTTTTTGAGGGTCCCAGAATTTGCCTTTCTCTGAAAATTGGATTCGTTGTTGAACCGCCTTGAATTGGAGGGAATAATTGCAAGACATGAGTGGAAATTGTTCACATAAAGGTGTGGAGGTTTTTATTGACAAGATTTTTAGAGAGAGAAGATTGTATCCCATTTTAAAACTTTAAAAAAAGTTGTCGAATTTAAAGAATGTTAAAAGAATATTTACATTTATTTCATTTCAAACAGATGAGTGAAGATTCAAAGTTGCAATTTATTTGTCATACATGTATGTTGTAACCATGTGTAATCCAAATGATAAAGATTTTGAAAAGGAGAATAGCCTCCAGGGAATTCGTACGATATCCCCCATAGCTCCTAGCTAGATTGCTAGTGAAATGACCCAAAGCAGATTCTTTTCAGCTGAACAGAATGTTCTACGAAGATTTTCATAATATAATATGCCTGCCAACATAGATTACTTTTTCTTCTATCAATGGAAACAAACGCTAATCGAAGGAGATACCAATTTCTCTTCTATTTGATGTGAAAAATAGCAATTATTACAATATAAAGTTCACAAATTTTGAAGTACAGCCAAAGAAACTTTTTTTTTTTTTTTACCTTTTTGGTCAATAACTTTTTTTGGAACAACATTTTGGTCAATGACTTCAAAATTTCTTTGATCCGATGTTTAGCTGAAGTTAGAACCCCGTAATAGGCCCACTTAGTTCGTGGGCCTTGATGCTTCTTGATCTGTTGCCTAAACTTACCCATCATTCAAAATTTATCAACAAAGAAGATCCATGACGACCAAAAACCAACAAATAAGCCCCTTTCTTTTTGGATCATGAGAGTCACTATAGTTCAGAAATAGGTCTTGTCAAAAAGTAAAGTGTTGGTCAGGAGCTGGACACGAGCAATTTCTTTGAACAACTTTACCCAAATTAAGAATTTCTTTAAGAACAAATTCTTAATCTAGTGTGCATGGGTACGAAAGTTTTGACAAATTTATACCCTTAGTAATACCTAATTAAAGATAATCCTAATTTTAAATGAGTAGTATTAATTATTATTAGAGATAATCTTAATTATCTTTTATATTTATAATCTTAAATATTTTTAAAATTTATAATCTTATTCTAATTAAATTCATAATTTTAATTTTAAATATTTTTAAATTTATAACTAAAGTATTTTTTAAATTTATATATTTTTTAAATTATAATTTTAATATTTTTAAATTAATGCTACGTATCAACATCTCACATAATATTTGACCTAATATGGAGATAGCAGTATCGCTGTAAAAGTAGAGATAACACTATTGTTCAAAAAAGTGAGATACTCATTTTGCGCTTAATACGTGTCATTACTGGAGTGAGTATCGACCTTATACGTGTGATATTGTTTTAAAAAATATTAAAAAAATTATATTATCTGTAAATTTCTGATACACCCATTTACATGGCAACAAAAAGTTTCAGTCAGAAAAATAGTTTTAAATTAACTCTATTTTCATAAATAAATTTTAAAATTGCATTATTTAAATAAAATTACCCCATTTATATTGATATATAATTAAACATTTGCTTATCTTTTATTTTAGTATGTAAGCATATATGTGTGCATTAATAATGTCCTACAGATACTTATAAACAAATTGATAAAAACTAAAATATCTAATGCCTTGTTCATTATTTGTTCAAATTATTTTAATTTAAAGTAAGGAAATTTAAAATATAATATGATGAATATTTTAGTCATTTATAATTTCATTTAAAAAAAAAAACTCCTTTAATGTAAGTTTCTAGTAAACAATAATGTATTCAATACTAATTTTTGATGAGTTAATATAACAGAGTATTTTAAATTATTTCTATTTACAAAATAATTTTATTTAAATTAATAATAGATGAAAAATTATATATATATATATATATATATTTACATTAATTAGATTTAACAAAAAGAGATGACACACTAAAAATAAGTTTAACAAACATTCAAAATATTATATGAATTTTTTTTTATGACAACAAAATATCTTTTCACTTTTTATGTTTTAATTTATATTCATTAAATTTTTTATTTTTAAAAATAAAAAAATTAAATTAAATTTTCCGAACAATATTCCTTAAATTAAATTTAAAAAAAAGAACGCAAGATGTAAAAAGAAAGGGCTTTGGTACAAAACACAATCCTAACGGCTAGCCCATTCTATTTGAATTGAGGAGACAGATACATAGCGAGATGGCACTTCTTTTGATTTTCCGACCAAAACCAGAGCCAAACCTCACACCCCCCATAGGAAGAGTTAAAAACTTTCCGTTTCTTGCACTTCAAACCCTATAATTTGGGGCTTTTAACTTTCTCAATTTTGTTTTTCAATTGCTTTGAGTTCTAACAATTACAGCAATGGATCTTCCTAGAGATGTGAACGATTACATGAAACAATCAATTGACGATTCACTGGGGATTCCTGTATCGTCGCAAACCCTAGAAGCCAAGCTTCGAGCATCGCAAGAGTCACAATGGCGCCTCCGCGAACAGCTTCATTCCCTTTTCCCCAAATTGAAGCAGAAAGATCAACTCATCGAGCGCCTCAAGGTCTCGCCGCTCTTTTCCCTTTTTCTTCTAAATCGTTCTCTGTTTTATTTTTTTATTTTTTTGAAATTGACGATGGAGAGTTTGCCTTTCTCTTTTTGTTTTTGGTTATTCTTTTGGAGCAGTGTGAAGCGACTATGAACGCACGAGCTGTGAAGAAGTTCGTTGAGGAGAATCAGAGACTGGCGATGGAGTGTGGGAATTTGTTGGGGCAATGTCATCATTTGGAAAAGGAATGCGCCCTGTATGATCAGGACAGGGAAGCGTTGATGGAATTTGGGAACGATGCTGATGAACGGGCACGGCTGGCTCAATCGCGCGTTCTTGATTTGGAACGGGATTTGCTCTTGATGAAGAATGAATTAAAGACATACAAGCATCAGCATGAATTGGTACCGATATTTTTCCCTTTTTTACAAAAAAAATTTGGTCGAATATTTCCCACCCCTTTTAACTATCAAAATATATACCTTTCGTTCTATCCGACTGAGGCTCTGAGCTATTTAGGAGATTGTGAATTATAATATATGAAATATTGCAATACTAGTTAAGGGGCGTGAAATGTTTCAGTCTAGAGTATTTTTGTAGCAAAACAACGTTTTGGTCCCTCAATAGTTAGGGTTGGTAACATCAGTCACAAAAAGATGAAAATCATAATTTTTGTCCCAGAAAGATGAAAAAGTCAATCGTTTTATACTAAATAACGGATGCTAACTAGTGTCAATGGTAATGGTTAAGGAATCATAATTTCTAACATACTCCAACGTGATTGTCAATAATTTTCTTTTATTTATTGATTCATAACTTCTGCTCTTAGCATGATCCTTAATTCCTTACTAAATTGATCTAGATTTTCATATTTTAGGGATAAAAATGGCGATTTACATTTTTAAGAGACTAATCTCACCAATCCCAAATCTTTTGAAGACCAAACAGGTGCTTCACTCCACAATTTTTATCAAATAAGGACCTACCATAATTGGTTGTTAGGACACATTTTTCACATCTATAAAAATTTGTCATTCTCTCTTCAATGACGCCATAATATCCAAATCTCACTTTCTTATTCACTTTAACAATTGTGAGAATAAAGCGATTTAATGTAAACTTGAAAAATGTAAGAGGGGCTTCTTCTCCCTTTTGATTTTTAAGGAGTAAATTAAAATATCTTTGGAAATGCTACTTGGAGGGAGTTTGAAATTAATTCACTCTGCTTTATAAGTTATAACCATTATGCATTGTGATACTGTTAACTCTAGAAACATATGAATGACTTTTATTAGCTGTTAAATTAACAGTTTTAATGAGCTTTTTATATTAATAAGGTTGTACCACTTGTAAGAAATACTCCTTCTCACCTATCTAATATTAAAGAACTTCTACGACTTAATAATGCTTTTTTCTTACCATGATTTTTACTTTTTCCTTTGCGTTACTCATGAAATGGTAATATAGCCTTTGCAAGTTATAGTTCCTTTCGCTGTCAATGTTGATCCCAGATATTTGCTTTTTCCTTGAAGATCAATTCTTCTTTGGCGTGCACACTTGGAGAAAAGAATTTACTTGATTCTTTTTTGGCAACTGTTACTAGTAAAGATGATGATTCTACGTATGCATTTTTGGAAGTAAACAGTGAGAATGAGTCGTGTAAAAAGTTGCTGAGCATGTGGAACTGGTAAGTCTCAACCTCTCTTCAGTCTGTTGCCCTGTTTTCTTCTTTCTCCTTTTAATCTTTAGGCAATGGTCTCATTTGGCCAATTTTAGCAGCCATAATATTCGGTATAACCAACGTGATGTAGTTTTTATGACCATGCTAATTTCTATTCAATATTGCCATTTAAGTTTGTCAGTTCATTTATATTTATATACGATTAATTTTTTATAATGGATCTAGCATAAGGCCATCAACTCGGAGAGTTTTGTCACTAGTTGCTAAAGTCAAATCACTTGAGAAAAATAAGGAGCATCTAAGAACTAACCTTCACAAAGCTGAGGAGGAGGTCTGTAAACTTCAATTGATCCCCAGTTTCTTGTAGACCATTTCATTTGTTTGGGATGATTTGTTGTTGATTAATATCTAACTTAGCATGGTATGCGTAGGTCAAATTACTGTTTGATGAAAATAACATATTAGATGAGGAGAACAAACGGCTATTTAGGCAATACAAGGAAAGGAACCATCCTGATTCTGGGGGAAAATATACCAACTGCTCATCAGCCAAGGCGAGTTAATTTAAAGATTAAGTAAAATTTTTTTGTGACGTATGTGCGTGTCAGTGTTGCATTGTCAGTTCAAATTATTTCATTTCTTTTTCAAAGCTGATGATATAACACTACTTGTAGTCATATTTCATACTCATTCACACTTCATCTCTCTTTAAATGTATTTTTATTTATATTATTTGGCTCTTGCAGTCAAACAAGAGAAAGTCTAGTCCCAGAACAAGTAGCTCAATGGAGAGGAAGCTTGATTTTGACGATTTAGATTCCGAGAGACAACCATTATCACCCTTACGAAATAACTCCCGAGACTGTAGAATGCATAAGAAGTAACGTGACAGACAACACTGATGTGTACTAACAGACGATGAGTTTTAACCACCTCTCTTATGTACAAAATTTTGACTCTGTGTCCGATTAACCGATGGCTTGATTCATCACAGTTTACATATTTGTTACTCCTAATTATCAGTATTGATTATTCATTTATGGAATGGGAATTACTTTTAAATTTTTATATTTAAATTTGAATTGATTTAGAACATATAAATGAATTGAATTTATTAATTTGATTTTACCACCTTAACGTGGAATCAATCGAATGACTTAACTAATGAGGTTTAGTATGATAACAACAAAATAATATCCAATAAATTTAAATAAAAAGTATTTTGTATTTTTATTTGTAAACTGTATCTAATAGATTTTATTTGTCAACAGCTCTTTTTAAAAAAAAAAAAAATCAGTCCAATTTCTATTTTTTAAATTTAAATAAAGTGTAATTTATTATATATCGAACTAATTCGTAAAGAATCTCACGTATTCAAGGAAGGTTTTCTTATCTTTCACTATTTAAAATAAATTATGCTTTATTGGGAGAGGATAGGAACTGGAGAAGAGGACAGTGGTGTGATTTTTTTTAACGAGATTTGGATTCTGTAATTTACATTTTATGTTCTAGACACTATATTTTTTGTTCTTTACATTTCATATTTTTCTAGTTCATAACAAATTTTCTCGTGACATTTCATCTACTTGGTTAATCCTTTTATGGTATTGATACAGGCTGTGTTAAAGGATATTTTTAGAAATAATTTTTTTTAAAAAATAAAGTAACGGAGTAAAAAGTAAAATGAGGGGTGAAAAAAAGTAACTCCCTCTACTTTATAGCTCAAATGAAAAAATGGGCTTCTTTTAGCCCAATTTAAAGGACAGCAAGCGTGAATGAATATCAGGCCCAATTAGACCAAGCTGATGATCGTCCCCGACCAACTCGGCAAAACGAAAAATACAAAAAGACCCAATGTTGGTTTTGTCATCTCTAAACTGAACAGAAGATTTGAACCCCCACAAAAAAACCAAAAAAGAGAACAGAAGACGACGGTGTGTTTTATCCGAAACATGCATGCCCTTATCCATTTCACTTGGTACTTCCACACGACACACCTACATCATCAACACAAACAAAGAATGAGAAATGCTCAGTAACCCACCCCTTTGAGTTTTGATTGCTAAGTAATGGCGCTACTACGTCTTCTCTGTTTCACTTCAACAAATCAATTATCCACACAGCACTATTCCCAATTAACCTCTCACAACAAACCTCATTCCCAATCCATCAACGTCATCACCAATCCCTCTTCCTTACACCTTCAACGTTTATTCCTTGCTCATACCCCAATCCTTATTGCAACCAAACAAACCTCTAATTCCACTCTCAGACTTGCCTCCACTTCCCAACAACAAATTCAAGAAACTGAAGCGGACGCTGAAGAAGAATTTTCTCGCACGAGGTTGCTCGCTCAGAACGTGCCTTGGACAAGCACCCCTGAAGACATTCGCTCTTTGTTCGAGAAACATGGAAAAGTTCTCGAAGTCGAGGTTTTTCTCCTCCTTCCTTTTCTTTTTGTTCGTTTCATGTTTCTGTTTTCTGTTTTTCTGACATAGGTTTATGTCTGCTTTTGCTGTTAAGCTTTCAATGTATAACAAAAACAGAAACCGGGGTTTGGCGTTTGTGGAAATGGGTTCCCCAGAAGAGGCTCTTGCGGCTTTCAACAGTCTCGAAGCGTATGTAAGCCTAAAACACTGCTCTTACACTCTTTTGCCCATTTTATTTATTAATTTTTCTAATTTGTGTTGAACGGTAAATAATAAAAAATGAATTTTTATTAAAAATGATAACATTTAATATTATCTATCTATTTAATTATCAGAGATAATGTGATTTTTTTATAAAAACTTATTATGTAGAAGTTCTTATTGTGTATATTTAAGGATACATTAAAAAATTGGTTATTTATTTAATTTGTAAATATCAGTGCTTCATACTAATTTTTAATATTTTAAAATAGTAAATTTATATTAAAGATAAAAAATTTGTTATATTTTTATGTTCTCAATGCTTTCTTGTTACTTTTAGTGTCTTAAAGGGTTTATCTTTCTTATTTTTTACAAGTACACACCTAGATAATATTTGATATGTTTTTCCTCTCTCTGAATGGTGCTTAGGAGTTCGAGGGTCGTGTAATAAAACTAAATTATGCTCGGCCAAAGAAGAAGAAAACACCGCCCCCTGTGAAACCAAAGCCAGAAGTGACATTTAACTTGTTTGTTGCAAACTTGTCCTATGAAGCGAGGTCAAAAGATCTTAGTGAGTTTTTTAATGCGGGAACTGGTAGAGTTGTTTCTGCTGAGGTTGTTTTTCATGATAATCCTAGAAGGTCGTCTGGTTATGGATTTGTGTCCTTCAAGTATAAGAAAGAAGCTGACGCAGCTCTGTCTGAGTTTCAAGGAAAGGTAACTAGTGGTTTCTTACATCAGTTTAGTTGTTTGAATTCGGATTCTTGAGTATGTGTATGTCTTTCTGAAAATTTGTATCTGCAATGTCCTAGTGTTTGAAACAATATTTTTCAGTTGGAGTGAGAGTGAAGTGCAAAAAATTGTTTGTTTGCAGGATTTTATGGGAAGGCCTATCAGGGTGGCACGGGGTCGGCGATTTGTTCAACAACCGGTGGAGGGGAGGGCAACGTCTGAAGATAACTCCTCTGAGTTGAGTGTGAATGGGACAGAGGGTGACAAAGCTGATTGATATCACTTTTCCCCCGCTGCATATCAATATCGTTGATGTTGTATCATGTATGTCCTTGCTTCAGACATTTTGATTGTTTGCTCATTCTTACTGATAATGAGAAGTCTATGATTGGTTTAGATTGTATGTGTTTTACAGGTGGTTTGAACCTGTGTCAACCAGAGGCCTCAAGATATACAAGGAATGAATAGGTGTAAGCACGAGCATTTCTGTGATTCAAGAATGGATAATCAATGTAAATCAATGATCACATTTCCATATGAATTGAGATATCTTCATTGCATTATTTTAACAAATTTTGGCATGTTACTAGATCAAACTGAGAAACATAAGTATATTAGTGATGTTTGCATTTTCACTGGTCCGTGGCTACTTTACAATGACTTGTAGTCTAATAATTTTTTGTTATTTTATTGAGTAATTTAAGAATATTGGTTTGGAATCCACCTGAAAGAAACTAAATTACACCATTCAAAGATGAACAAAAATCTCGGCCATGTGCATGTCATTTTGAAATATACAAACCATTTCTATATTATGAATACTCGAAGCTTGTTCTGTGAATTCTTTCTGAAGGGATCTAAGACAGTTATTTGACTTTGTTTTGTTTTTCTGGCTTTGAAAGATACCTATAAGAGAAAAGACTTTTCTTATTATCTATGATTGAGGCTTGAAAGTTGGGTTGAAATATGCATTCTCTTCTAAGTCCTAAGTCCTAACGTTAAGATTTAAGTGGGATTCTTGCATACTGAATGGCTAGAATCACACCTTGAATCTTCTGAATCGCACTGTGAATCATTTTAGCGACTTGCTGTCATATTTTGTTTTCTATTTAGGACTATGCAGCTGCATTGTGCTGTCACTCTTTTATCTTTTTCTTTGGTTATTGTGAATGTTATGACTTGAATGAATCTTGATCTATTTTGAAGATATGCTTTACGTTGTAGCGTTTAGCTATATAGTGAGTTATTTTGCTTTAAAATGCCAACATCTAGATGTCTTTAAAATGGCAACATCTTGAAAAATAAACCTTTGATTTATGATTCGATTCCCAATTCGATATGCATGGCAAATAGTAGTGTTTTTTCTACACGAGTTTTTAAGGTTATGCTAGATAAAGTAGCATCACGATATGCAGCTATTTGAACCTTCAGGAAATATAGGATACTGACAATGTTCATATTGTGCTGTTGTTTTGACATGAGTTACTTTAGAGGTATTCTTTCGCAAGCGTGGTAACTTTATAAATATGATTACTTCCCGGATTATTCATCATTTATGTTTTTCATTGGGATTTACTCATCAGTTTTTATTTTTAAAATGATCAACTCTACAAAAGTAACACGGTAAAGGTATTGTATATCTCATCCTACCCAGTCGTGTGTAGGACTTGTTTTTATTTTTATGGTTGAACAAGTCTTTTTGCTGTCACAGATTAGAGCATGATTAAATATGGATATGAGTCGATTATTTAATTCATCTACATTGAGCTTAATGAAACGCAAATGCGTGAATCGTTTATGTATTTCGACGGGCAAATTCTATGAGGTGCTTAAGTTCAAATGTTTTTACCACAAATGATAAATGGGTGTCGGCGATTTAACAAGAGATAATTTAATCCAATCTATTGTAAAGAGGTCATGAGCTTTTCAATTATTTAACATTATAAGGTTCTTCTGGTCGATTCAATCTTCTTTTAAAAAGAAAAACGTGTGGTTTGGTCAATTTATACAAATATTATTTTTCATGACCTAGAAAATTCAAACAGAAGACAATAAGGTGAAGAACAAACCTCTCTATCATGGCACCAACATCTGCTGATAATGACGTAATTTCCCTAACATGGTGACATTTTCTGCCCCAGCAAGTTGAGTTTTATATCATCAACTTTTATCTCACACTCTTCTACATATGGTGAGAAATTTACAGGATTAAATCAATACCACGTTGATTCCATTTACTGCTAAGATTTGATAAATAAGTTATTTATCTAGTGTCAAAATTCAAGGAAGTGCTATACTTCCACAAAACTATTATTTCCATTAACGATAAAGCTCATCTGAGTAGCTGGAAGGTGGAAAGACTTCATGACTGTGATGATGAACACTTTTTTCTCTTTTGGGTCAATTGATGATGAAACCTTGATTTTAACTAAAAGCACAAAATAATTCGTATTTGTACCACTTCTTTTTTGTCACTTTTAAAATTTAATTTTTAAAAACATTGAATATATTTTTAGAAATTAAATTTCATAAATACTTTTTCTAAAATTAAATTCGGAAAGAACAAAATTATGAAACAACTAGCAAAAAGAAAGGCTACAATAGAAGTTGGGCAGAAAGAGCCCATTAAAGAGGGTTTCAAACTTTTTATCAGTCATTGTGTTTGGTAAGCAGTTAGGATCAACCGATTCAAGATTTTGGATGTCACATTCTATCCCAAACCCCATTTTTTTTTTGTCTCAACAAAGAAATTCTTCACTCCGTTGCCACGTTCACCGTGTTTTTAATCTGCCGACTCCCTCTTTCTTCCCTCCAAAGGAATCTCAACAAACAAAACTCCTATATTCTGCTTCATAATACTTGAACCTTCCATTACATAACATGAGGTTTGGTAAAAAATAATACAAATTTTGTAAACATCCCCTGTTTAGTTAATCCAAATCTTGAGATGTAAAATTATATTGAAATTGAGAGGTTAAATAAATTAACATTCTTTCTAACACATTCTTAATTATTTATTAAAATTTATCAAAGTTTATACATACTTAATTGATATCATTATTAAAGGGTGGGAAAAAAAATTCTTTTAAGAATATAAAATATGTGAATTACATCATGTGACAACTAATTTTACTTTTCTTAATTTTCAATTCTTCTGAAAAGTAGAAGCTTTTCATGCATGTCCTGTAATATGTATTGTATAATTCATTCCTCAAGGATGACAACAGACAATCACGCAATGATCATGAACCCGTTGATCTACAAAACTTCATAATCATGAACTGTATCTATTGGGATGCCAACATATTATTGAGTTATACTATAAATAGTACAAAATTTTTTCACAATATTTTTTATAGTACTATATGTTTCTTTTTGCCTTTCTCTATTATATTTACTGTCATATCTACTTTCTTCTCTTCTCTTTTTATCTCCATTTTTGTTATAAAAAAACTGTACTAATACAATTTCTCTATATAACACGCGTCAAGAGTGGCGTTGCTGTGTCACAATGAGTAGGTTCTAAGCAAGCCTTCATTTTCAAATAATGATCATGCTTATGTAATTATGCACGTACAGTGTTGAGGGACCCTCGTCCAATATAGATGTAAAGCGTTCCTTCGAGGCATCAAAGTATGTGTAGTACGAACATATAGCTACAAAATTGGAACTATATATGCATTTCCATAAAAATAAAAGAGTGTTTGATTTTGGGCAAGCAAAGGAGATTGGTAAATGAAGTTAATCACCCCTTCATTTTTCTTCATTGGCAATCAATCATAACTGGTCATGTTAGACTATTAGAGGTGAGTTCTTATTGGTAGGCTTAGTCAAATGACACTATAATTGCATCAGAATAATTCTACTCAACCACTATAGCATGTCATAATGTGAGTTGCAAAGAACACATAACAACGCCACCTGTTCTGGCCGTTAGGTATGAAGTGCAACTCAAGTCATCCTCATGCAAAATGCGACAAACTGGGCCTAACTCTAACTACTCCCATACCGTTCTTTCAATAATATAAAGCAAAGCCATTCTCCAAAACCATCTTCAGAGCCTCCTCTGCAGTCTATATCCCTTCTTTCCTCCCCACACTATCTCACCAAACTATGGCATTCTCAAATGCATTGGTTTTGGGCTTATTGCTAGCCATCAACATGGCTCTCCCAACCCTCTCAACCGTCTACACTGTGGGAGATACTTCAGGTTGGGCAATTGGTGCTGATTATAGCACTTGGACTAGTGACAAGGCATTTTCAGTGGGTGATAGTCTCGGTAAGTACTAGGCAACATTTTGTAGTAATTTTAGGACAAAACTTACGCCAATTTTTTGATAAAATTGTAGTTTTACCTCAATAAAATATCAACATTTAAGATATAACACAATTTTTTTGGTATTAAAAAGAGTAATAAAAATATCTAAGAAACTATAACCAAGTTTTTTTTTTTTTTATCAATTTTAATAAGCAAATGCTAACCAATACTCAAAAGATACTCATTAAGAAATTTAAAATAAAAAAGAATTGTCAAAAATGAAATTAATAATTTTTTTTTGTAATTACAATTACAATTGCAGTTCAATTTTCTTTCTTAAAGGAAAAAAGTTTAACTTTTGAATTTTAGGACCTGGTTAATAAGACCCATTTTAATATAATAACATGACAACATAGCAAGACTATGTTCAAACTTCGTATCTATGATTAAGTTTTAATGTGGGTTATATTTATGTGACAGTGTTCAATTATGGATCTGGGCACACTGTGGATGAGGTTAAAGAGAGTGACTATAAATCATGCACTGCTGGGAATTCAATTAGTACAGACAGCAGTGGTGCCACCACCATTCCACTCAAAACTGCTGGCACTCATTACTTCATATGTGCAATTCCTGGACATTGTGCTGGTGGCATGAAACTTGCTGTTACTGTCAAAGCAGGAAAAGCCACTGCCCCTTCTACAACGCCAGCAACTGGGAAGGGTTCGCCTTCTGATGGCAGTGGCACCACCGCCACACCCGCCGCCACCACCACCACCACTACTCCTACTACTGCCACTAAATCAAACTCGTCTTCTGCGAGTAGTCTCTCACCAATTGTTGCTATGGTGATTGTTTCATGGATCTCTTACTATGTTTGGCGTATGGTATGAGTTATGCCCATAGTGAGCCAGGACAGAGGCAGTGCTTTCATCTTTTCTTTCTTATATTATATTATTGTCACTCTGTTTACTTGTTTTGATTTATTCCAACTTTTTTACGAGTACTAATCCAGGTTCTTGTACTATTAGTTAAATAGGAAATCCACCATGCTTGTCTTTCATTTTTATTTATTTATTTAATATATAAATTGATTACCGTTTCGTAAGTTCTTTTTTTAGTATCTTAATATATATATTAATAGGTAAAGGCTTATGATTTTGAAGTAAATTAAAATAAGAGTAAATCACTAACACGTGATTTTAGTTTATTTTAAAAAAAGTCTACTTCATTTAATTAATGAAATTTAGGGCACGTTTAGATTGTTTAAATAATTATGAATTCATATTTACTTCAATACTATTAGTTTATTTGCATTTATAAATTTTTTAACGTATTTTAAAATAAATATATAGCCTAACTACAAGTACAAATATACTATAGATGGATACAAAAAGTTTTGTAAATACTGTGCACGTAGAGAATATTTAAAATAGTTTCTTTAAAAATATATGATAATTTAAAATGAAAATTACTTAATACTTCTTGACAACCAGAAGTTTAAATAAATTAAATTATTTTACAAGTCCTTAAAATTACACTGAATTTATAAATAACTTTTTTGCAATATAAACATTTTAAGAATCTATACACTTTTGAAAATGCCATAAAACCCATTTACTCTCAATTCTCACAAATTCTACTATTTAGAAAGCATAAAGGACTTACACTTGCTAAACCCACTAAGCAAAAGCCTCCTTCTAAGTTTCTTTATATTTTGTGTCTCCTTCAACAATAGTTTCAACCTTAGAACGAAGACACGAGGACGTTTATGGAAAATCCTTCTGTTCTTATATTTAGAAAGACTTCAGCAATGCTTTGTCGATTGAGGTTGATACTTTGAAGTATAACAGATTTGAAAAACGTTAATTACACCCTTTTTAACATTTTTAATAAAGTTTTTGTAAATCCTACTAGCTAATAAATGAAATATATTAAATAGTGCATAAAATCTAATAATAAAGTAGATTTACATGAATTTTGGCTAATAATATTGTGATAGAATACTCACTCCATTTTAAATTATCCGTCATTGAGTGTTAATTTATTTAAAATATTTGTTACTTCAAAGATTAAGAAAATATTATTTTCAATACTTAAATTAATTGACAATTAATACTAAATATTGTAAAGGGGGTTTTTTGCCAAAAAAAAAAGGGAAAAACATTTTATCATACTAATTAATACCATTGACAATTTTCTTAAAAAAGTAAGCGTGACTTTAAACTACAGATAATTTGAAATGAAGAGAATATATTAATGACATTTCCTGTCAAATTTATTACAAATACCAGATGAATTAATTTACAACTGTGAAATTTAAATGCTCTGTCCTATCAATAAAGTACGATCAAGTAAACAGTACTTTTTTTTTAAAGTTGGAAATTAAAAAAGAAGTTTGAGCACATTTTTGAAACCTCTTTTATTAATCCTACGTTGACACTTGAGTGGAAGTGGAAGTAAAAGAGACTCGAATTACAGATTTGCTGTCCTCATTTTGATGTTTCTTGTGCGTATTCATTTTGTTGGTGTGAGGGAAAGGGGATAACATGGAAATACGAACTGCAGAAGATCTAAATACAAGAGGAAGGTTTTTCCTTTCGCATTACCGCTCTTCTTATCATCGTACCCTTTTGCTCCCTTTTAAATTGTAATTTCTGAAAAAGAGTGCAAAAGAAACCGCCCAAAAAGTTCGTCGTTATCCCAACATACTTTGGGTCACAGACCATCATGTGTTAACCCTTTACTGCTGCTATGGAATGAACAGTTACTTGTGTAAAAATTTAAGCCCAAACCCAAATAACCAAAACCAAACTATTCACAAGATCTCTATGACCATCCGTTTTGACTAAAAAACATGAAAAAAGAGAACTTGACCATCTGTTGACCAAAAAAAGAAAACCATGACTATCCATTATGATTGTGAAACGCAACGACTACTACGAGTCCAAATTTCATGGAATACTACAATTTCATGCTGACTAGTGACTACAGACACCAACCATAGAAAGACCAATTATTCCCGTCACCAAAGGAATGTATCGCATAACGCAGACAAATCGCATAAAATTTTTTATTGCACCCCACTTTATCATTTAACTTTCCAAACAGATAAATCATACGACTTTTATTAAGGGCTCATTCATTTTAAGAAATATTTTTTCTCTTTTCATTCATTTTAAAAAACAATAACAATTTTGTAATTAAAATTCCAAAAACTAAACAGGTCTTAAAAAAAGAATTCCTCTGACTACAATCGGTTAAAGTAATCATTAACCCTGTAAGTGGTTAAAATTCAAAGCATAATCCATCATTAAGCCCTTCAAAATTGGTTGAATTCAAAAAATTAATAACTAAGGTAAATTTAACTTTGCATCGTCAACTAAAAAAGAAAAAGGGCAAGATGAGCCCGACTTAACAAGTGCTAAAGTGGTCCTACAGTATTAAAAAAACTTGGAGAATAAGAAAAGAGTTGTTATAGCTTTTGTAGCGAAATATAGAGGCATATCATAATCTTTTCCTAACATGTGTCACCAAACCACATACATCCGTGACACCTGTTAAAGCCAACTCCACCTTTTCCCTCCTTCCAACACAACATTTCTATTTTCTGCTTTTATACGCCCAAAATAAATAGATAAAATATCATAAATGCCTCAATTAAAAATAAGAAAAACCAAAAGAGAAGAACCCTCGATTCCAGCTGTCACTGGGACATGTTTACAGAACCCAAAACACGACAAAAACTAGTTCCTTCCGTGTGTTAACTCCCTTGTTTCCTTACACAGATTGAAATAAATAAATAAATAACTAAACAAACGATTATCCATAATCAAAGGCATAATATTAATAATGGTAATAATAATAAATAATGATGATGATCCTGATAGTCTTAGTCTCGGAGAGTGAAGCTATCAGAATCAAACCCTAACAAGACCTCCAAGTGCAGAAGTCATTATCACACCGCTAATCAAAATCATAATAGTAAAAATAAATATCTCCATATTCTCTAACTCTGACTGAACATAATCACAGTCTCGTACTCATAATAATAAGATTAAAACCTAACCATACACAACTACGCACAGATCTACATCATCAATGCTGCCACGGTGGCAAAAGCCACGGCGGCTACAGATCCGGCACCGGCGACTCTCTGGATGGCGGCGTGGCTGTCGGGAGCCACAGAACCGGGAGCCTCGACAGGTGCTTCGCTGACGACGTCGGGTCCGAAAGCGACGGGGGAGGAGGCAGGAGAGTCGACGGGAGAATCGGAGGGAGCGACGGGAGCCGGAGGGGATTCGATGGGGGATTCAGACGGCGAGGCGGTGGTTGGGGCGGAGGAAGGTGGTGAAGAGCGCTGAGGAGAAGGAGCAGAGCGGGAAACGGGAGAGGGAGCCGGTGTGGCGGTGTTGGTCGGAGGAGCAGCGGTGGCGGTAGGAGGAGTGGCTACAGGAGGTGAAGATGGTGCCGGTGAGGCTTTGGGAGTGGCGGTAGGGGAACCGTGCGGGGCTTGACCGAGCGCAGCGGTAGCCAGCAACGCGAAAAATAGTACGAACGAGATTTTGGCCATTGTTTTGTTTTTATTTGAACTTTGAAGGAAAAGAGAAGTTTGAGGGAAGGGAAATAGGAAAATGGGAGAAGTATTGTTATATTTTTATGTGTTTGGAATGATAGAGATTGAGGTGAGGAGAAGGGTTTGTTTCAACAAGCGGCGAATATTTGCTTCATAGGTTGTGCCGAGTAAACCGCGCTTAACCAAACGTTCTTAACCAATTTCATTTATTCATCCTTATTTACTTGTTTACTATAGTTTGAAAGCAATTCAACCCCATTTTACCCTATTTTGGAGGTGATTTTGATGATCTGCAAAGTGCTTTTTTTATGTTTAGACTTTTGAAGACTTTCAATCTTATCTTGAGCAGTCCAAGAGATTTAATAAAAGGTTATTTATCACATTTAAATTTCATATTTAGAAATATTTCTTTTGCATATACTTTATGAATTATCAGATTATCCATCAAAACGTACGAATATTAGCATTCATCAACAATTCAGCATATTAATTCCAAGTTAATCTGAGTGCAGATGAATTTAATTATTTATAAATTATTCGTTTAATCTATGGAACATTTTATCAGTTTTGTTAAATAAATAAGTTAACATTTAATCAACAAAATTGTGCATTACAAGCTATTTTTAAATTTGAATAAAATTTTGAATTGAAAATATATTAGAACCAACTGAAGGAGATATTAAGTCAGAATATTTAGTCAAAATATATTTTTATTATCAATAGTAAATATTTTATTATATTAAATATAATTAAATATTATTGCGTTATTGGTTTACGTATCCATGTTTATTAAAAAAAAAAACAACAAAATTTTATATCACATAAAAAAAAAATTAGTTTCACCGTGTATAGATATTTTTGAGTCGAGGCGAATTGTTTCATGTGAAAACATAAATTTTTAACATAAAGATAAATAAAAATAGATTTTAAAGTTGATTACATTAAATAATTTAAGCTTTATAAAATTCAACACACAAAAATCATGAACAGCACGTGTCATTATTATTTTTGTACTTGAGGGTAAAAAATATATCTTCACGGTTTGATTTTTCCATAAATGATTAATAAATAAATAAAGATAACAAATAGTTTGAATTTTTTCTATCAGCCTACTAAAAAATGAAATAAGAAAAACTAACTTGTTTCTTTAAAATGAATTAAAAATTTTAATAATTTATTTTATTACTTGTTACATTACTCGTAAATTTAAGAGAGTATTATATATATATATATATATACTTATTAAATTGATATTCTTTTAAAATATTAGGCATTAAAGTATATTTATATTTTTTTAAATAAATTATTAACTTTATTATATTCATATAAAATTAATAATAATTATTATTTTACATGTAAGAGAACATAAAATATCTTTTTTATTTACAAAATATCATTAAAAATTATTATTTATTTTATACTGTGTTAGTTAGTCAACTCACTTAAAGTGTTTATATTCATTTTCTTTTAAAAATAATTATAAAAATATAAAGATATCTTTATATATACTATCCACTTTTAAATGAGGTTTTATATAAAATAAACTTTCAATTGTCATAAGTTATTATTAAAGTTGTAAACTTGTAATGTAATAAGCTCAAGTATGGAATTGAAAATAAGTGTCATGTTGATAAAAAGGTATTATTTTGATTTCTAGAATTATTATCATTTTTAATTTGATTTTTATGTTTCATGTTAATAACAAAAATAAATTTTTATTTCATTAGGTGATGTCAATTTTATAGAGTATACAATTGTAAAATTTTTTAAATTAACTACAAAAACATAAAACAATCCTTCTCTTTTACCCAAATTTGGAATTGACCAATAAGACTATAGGCACAAAAATTATATTTTATAATATTTTTACATATAATTTTCTAATGTTATAATGGTAACGAAAAATAAGTACAGATTTTAAAATAATTTCAAGTACAAAAACAAAATAAAAAACTAAAAATAATTTAAATATCAATTATGTATAAAGACAAAATTTTTTTTTACCCTAATTGAAATTATAAAGCAGATATAAATATTTTAATATTTTAGTTTTTTCATGAAATATAACTTAACATAACTGGCAAGACTTTTATTAATATAACCAACTAATCTTATAATATATATTTTTTTTTTTGTCTTAAACCTTATTCATTCGTTTCTTCTATTCGAGTATGGGAATTTTTGGAAGGCTATCAAATCATCAATATTCACCATCTCACACTACATTCGATCTATTCTATTATCCGGTGGATATGCATTACGAACTTGATTAGATACTAACTGTATTCGACCATTGAGAAAAATTAAATTTGCTCGTGCCTAGAAATCATAAAAAGATTTTGGGGATATAACTTTGAGACATAATAAAAATATATGAATTTTGTTCATAAAAAGATGAAATTGAGTTCAAAATTAATGAGAATCTAAAAAAGTTCATTAAAAACAAAAACTTGGAGGTATTGAAAGAGTTTCAAGATTAATAATATGGATAAAAATAAAGAGGATAAAAAAAAATTTTAAAAATCATTATCCTATTTAAAAATATATTAAATTTGAAATCAGAAGAACTCATGAGATAATCAATTACATATATAAAATTTAGACTCTAATAAATCTTATTACTCTAAACTAATTTATTTGAATTTAAATTTGTTAACCCAAATAATTTATTAGTGTTTGTGTTAACGTTAATTTATAAGGACATATACAAGTTTATATAAAAATATTTTAAATTAATTTTAAATATAATTTAAAATTGAATACTAATGTAAAAGTGTAAAATTCTAAGTTATTGAATAAGTCAATTTTTTTCAATATTATAAAAAAAGACTATTATAAATGTTTGTTGCTTTAATTTATCAATCTTGTAATCGCGTTTCTATTCTATTTTTGTTTTTATTAATTTTTTCTTGTTTCAATCTTTATTTTTTTCCTAATAATTCTAATTTTTTAATTTAATTAAAAATTATTTAATTCAATAATATAAATCGTGATTATCATAAAATTAAAAATAAATAACTAATAATAATAAAATTTTATTAAAAAAATATTTATTATATTTTTATAAATTCAATACAATAATTATATATTTTTTTATAAAAAATTTCTATTTGTAGATACTTAATCTCAATTTCAAAAGTTGAAGTTAATCAAATCCAAAAAATATACTGTTAACGAAATATAATATAGACTCTTCAAAATTAGTTAATGACATTTATTACATTCAAGCCAAATTTACAATACAAACAATATATTGAATATAGATAGATAATGACACTTATTATACTCAAATTAATTTTACAATATAAGTGTGGATAAAGTAATAATGGCAATCCAAATTCGCAAGACTGGCCTTGAGTAGCTTGTAACCTGACTGATTATATGCCATGCTCCATTCTAGAAATCACATGATTTCAGATTTTCCCGTCAGCTTTTGTTTCCCCTTGACCCGTAGCTGAACTAAGCTATAACCTCAGGCCATACTAAACCAAGGAGACCCTTGCAGCACAATTTCCTCCAGGCTCCAGCTTCGTTGAAAAACCAAATAATAAACAAACATTACATCTGTGGTACGGGTATATGACAGCTTCTGCAATCAAAGCTTCGCCTCAAGGAGAATGGAGGAGTATGGAGCTATATTGTACGTGTTTCTTGTGCTAGGGACACCATCAAGGACAAAGTCATCTGGGGATTTGTGATTAGTGTCCACCTGCGTATGCGTCCGGAGTCCAAATTAAACTTAGAACAGAAAATTTTATAAGGAACATTCAGTAACAAACTAGCTCAATGATGCAGGGGAGCTATGGTTATTTGTATTCAGTTTGACAGTAGTTATGAAGCAAATGAAGAAAACAAGTTAAAAAAGTAAAGCCTGTAATGCAGCAAAGGAAGAAAACATGTTTGAAAATGCAGGCACACATTAAATTGCCATCATAAGTTGAAAAATGAGAATCCAAACAAGGGACTTGTTGAAAACTATTTTACAGATGGCGAGGTTTTGAAGGAAAAATAGTAGACTTTGATTCTATTTGATGGCAGGGTTATTGAGAAAGTGACAAACGTAACAAATATTAAAAATTTCCTCCATATTTATCTTCTGATCTTCTTACACCGAAGTTCACATTTTTTGGCCAATGTGATCTTTCGCTACATTATTCATCCAAATAACCGATTTTGCAAATTATTTCGATATTATCTATCACCGAAAAAAAAAACGACTTTGAATGACAAGGAGCGTTGCCGTGAAAGACTTTAAAAAAATAAATTAAAAAATATATAAAAACAATCCGGAAATTAAATTTCAAAATTTAAATTTCAGAAGATTCCGGAATTTAATGTGATCTAAAAGAGCTGGAGAAAGCATATGGCAGTAGTGAACACAACCAAGTTGTGTTGCAAGATCTATATTTCTCATTAAAAGCCCAATAGAAACTGCTAGAGATTTGTCTATAAAAACTTTAAAAAAAAATGAAGAAAACTGATTTTTCACACGAGTGAAGACCTAATTATAGGGCAAAAGAGAAGCTACCATTAAAATTTTTAAAAAAATCAAAGTGAAGATAAAATCCATTCCAAAAGGACTTCTTAAGTATCTATCACCCTCCTAAACATATTCAAATTCTTTTTTTTCCTACTCTAATCTTCTATTGTTCTTTTTTTTTTGTTATTGTTATGTTTAGATTTATTTTCTTAATTTTTAATCCAACAATGACTAATTAGTTTTCATATTTTAAAATTAGGAAGCTGCGCAAATTAGATTGATAATGATGTAATAGATATTTTTGATTTTTTGTTAATATTGATTATATAATTCACTTTTTAATGTTCTTAATGTTTGGGAATTTGTTAAATTCCTTATTTACATAATTTTAGATGTTAAAAAGAACCGAAAGGTGAACTTTACCATAAAAAAACTCTAAAATTTAACCTATAATTCTAGACCACAAAAGTAGACTACATTTTTTGAGGAATTATTGAATCACCATAGAACTTAATAGGTTTAATTACATATAATTACCACCAAAATAGAAATTAGTCTAATTAGATATGTTATTGTATTCTCAAAAAAAAAAAAAAAATCATCTTACGACAATTTGCCTTTTAGATTAAAAAAGTTAATATAGGATCTATTTTGTTTATGTTTGTCAATTCTAATACGTGGTAAAACTAATTCTTAAAAGTTTCTTAAAATTTGAAATCATCCATTTTAAAATTAATTATGGTTTTAATTTGTCTTTTCTATTTTTTCATTATTTCATCCTATTAATTATTTGTGTTTAGATATTTAAATTGCAATTATTCGGTACTTAATAACATAGTTCCTGCGAAGACTACTTGACAATTACATAAAGTACGGCTCTATCACCCAACTAAAGGAAAAACTCACCACACGGAACCACTTCCTCTTCTTTGGAGGTATGGGCAGCAGAACTTCGACAAAGTAATCATGAGCATTGAATGCCAAATAGATATCTCCTTCACTCTTGTCATGAAGCCTGCATGCGCATGCACACACACAAGCACAAAGGGGAAAGCAAGTACTCTCAAGTCAGTGTTGGTTAATTCTGATAGCAAGCAATTGACATTGAAATGATTCGAAGAAGCAACGCGAAAAGTTTATATTCTCTCTTTTTTCATTTTATATTAAGCATAAAATTCATTCCATGACCAAGATGATGTCTCAAGGTAGTGCTTCGGTGCTCCATTGTGTGAAAGCATTTAAAAAATACAATATAACTTCTAATTCAAATCCCAAATAACGATATGCATATCTTACGTGAATGCAATAAATCTGCTGTCAGAATTGTCCCAGTTATCTTCATGCCATGTTATGTCGTTCTGCAAAAAAGATACTGCTGCATAAGCATAAATGGCGGCATATGTTTGTTTTGATGGTAATATGGTAGTGTGTTTTGCTAAAATGTATAGCAAAAGATATTACCTTGCTGGCAAAATTTTCATGACTGAATACTTGATGTGCATGCCGGTACTTTATCAACTTGGAGAAAAACCTGAAGTGATCACTCTTCCGTGCATCCAACTATTGAGCATGAAGATAATGCATTAAGAATTAGTGTCTAGGAAGCAGTCAAAAGGGATGTTATACACTTGCCTGATCCCACAAAAAATTATTAATGGCCGTATCATGCCCATAACTATTGTTATTTCCATAGCGAGTATGGCCATATTCATCCCCCATTAGCATCATCGGTGTACCCTGGTCATTCATTACAATATGTTAAATCACTATTCTGGTTACAGTGGTTACTGATGCAAACAAATGAAAATCATATAGTTGTGTCTTCTAGTTTTCTTTAGAAAGGAAAAATCATTGAAAAAAGTGCTTGTATAGTTATATAAAATAGGTTAAAATGCAAATATTTCCCCTTCAACTTTGACCCTTGCACATATCCCCCAGTGGTTTTAACTTCTAAATTTTCAATTAACCCACTTAAGCTTTCAATATATGGCCAGTAGCAACTACCAACCATTAAAAAGTATGAAAATTGGATCAAATATATAAATTTGAATAAAACATGACGCAACAAGTGGATTCCTAGATTATTGTTTTGATTCTGTCCAACTTTATTTCAACCACATGGGACTATTTGCAAGATTCAAAAATGAAGAAAATTTGTATATTAACCCCAAAAGAAATGCTGCAAAGACAAATTAGGCAACAATAAATAAATGCAACCTGGAAAAGACAGAGCTGAGTTTGGATTTTAAACACAATTTTCTGCTAACAAACAAATGAAACATGCCAAAATGTATTCCATATATGTACCTGAGATATCATTAATGCCAAATGAAAGTTTTTCATTTGCCGTGACCGCAAAACTCTTGTACTAGCATCATCAGTTTCCCCTGCCAAAAAATAAAAATAAAATAAAATAAAATATATATATATATATATATATATATATATATATATATATATATATATATATATAGATATTAACAGTTTTCAGTAAAAGGAAAAAAATTTTCAATCTTCGACAAACAATTAAACATTGGTAAAGGTGATCATAACTGTATTTGTAGCTTGTTACTATCCTGAAAGTGATAGTTAAACATAAATATAAGGTTCAAGGTCTGCATTCCCGAACAGAAAACCCAAACATAGCAACTCACCAACACCCATTTCCTTCTGAAAATTATTGCCACCAAAAGAAAAAAAGAATAGGTAGGACAAGACAGAAAAACCTCATTGACAGAATTTTCATAGTTCTTGATTCACCATCCATGTCATTTTTTGAAATACTGCATTCAGTGGCGATCAAAACTAAATGAAATCATTTAAAAATATAAAATATTATTGAGTGAGAGGTATAACTAATGTCACAATAAATAAGACAATTGGTCATTTAATCTCAAATTTTACAGACATTAAACAGAATATATGAACAATAAATTGACTTCAGCTGTAGCTTCCAATGAATGTAAAGCTTTTAAAGGACACTAGCGGTGCAGAGGAAATGTAATGTTGAGTGAGGCTGACATTTGAAGCTTGAAGTGGAATAGCTAGGATCAGAATGAATTTCAGTTGTATGCAATATTAGCACGTCCTTCAGATATCCAGATTGCAGTACTAATAGATTCATGACTATTACATAGTAATAATATATCAATGCATTTATACAAATGAATTGTTTAAAAGAGAACAGGCTGCGGCTAAACAAATAAAGCATTGCAATTCAGAAACTACCTTCAAAACCACAATTCCAACTCAAATTATCATTGCTTCCGTCATTTCCACCTTCCCCGTTGGCTTCATTGTGCTACAAAATGAAGAATCAAGAAAGATAGTAGGATTTTGTAAACAATGGAAAATTGAACAGCGTTAAAAGGAGGTACCTTGAAATTGTATGAAACAAGATCATGCAAGGTGAATCCATCATGTGCAACAACAAAGTTAATACTATGATATGGCCTACGCTTGTTCACCTGTAAGATAAACAAATGAAGGATTACTTATATAGCAGAACGTAGCAATTCATGAAATTTGTAAAGCAATAATTAGCTATAATAAATTTAAACCCGTAATTTCAGTACATCAACTGCGTAAACAGATATAACATGCCTATTGCTTTGAAAAAGCAGATTAATCTCAATTACCAATGTAATGAAGACTATCCAAGGAGGAATAAAATAAGACAGTTTCTTCTATTGTACTGTTGCCATGAAACAGAACCAACATAGCGTACAATGTTGTTAAGATGTTCAATATTGATTAGAAATATAGTCAAAATGCTCCTTATAAGACCTGGACAACTCTCCTTTCTAAAGCTAACTTTCGGGAATAAGTTGGGTCCAATTTTCTGAGTTGGTATCAAAGCTTATTCAATTTGAATGTTCAATACTAAATGTCAAGTTTTTGATGTGAGAAGAGTGTGTTAAAATGTCTCGCATTGACTAAGAATATGATTAGAATACTTTTTATAAGACTCGGACAATCCTTCTTTTTTTATTAGCTTTTAGGAATAAGTCTTGGACAATCTTTTTTTTTTTATTAGCTTTTAGGAATGAGTTAAGTCTTATTTTCTAATAGAGTTCAAAAAAGAACTCGAGATCAATGGCAAATATATTAGCTACTAGCTGGAGGATTGGGCACAATGTATTTCAACTGCATCATGATAATAACTCATCTTTAATTCCACTTATGCAATTGAGTGAAGGTTCTATTTACAGGGGGGAAAAAAGGTATGCATGGTGCATTTTGCTTCATGGGTGCTAGAAAGACCATATATTTTGATTGACCCTCACCGTTATAGTTATGGGGAGCTCACGAGAAAATTCATCTGTGAAATAATTGATCATATATATTGTAGATGTGGAGGATACAATTCTGTGACTTGATAATAATTTACACCAGTTTAATCTAATATTCTAGCTCCAAAAGTTCAATTTCATAGCTGCTAGAGGATAAATCCATTCCAAAGCCTCTAATTAATCGCTTACACTTTAGTAAAGCTGGTCTTTGATATGGTATCAAACTTATAAAGTTAACAAGCATTAAGAGCAATAAGTAGCTTACTCTGTAAAGATCAGAAGACCCAGAAACACGAGTTGCAAAGCTCCCCTTCATACCAGAATCTCCCTAGGACATGTTTTTAAAAGGAAATAATAAAACAGGAATAAATCAAACAAGTCACAAGTCAAATCATAGCACAATGCAAAGCCAGAAAGTTTTTCCACCTGAATTTCTCCCTCCCTCTGCAACATATTGACAGTAGATGATAGATTTTTATTTTCCTTTTACTAGCATGCTGGCTACCTTATGTAAATTATATTACTTAACTAACCAAAAGAGACGTCAGGCAATCTGGATCAATTTAAATTAAGTATCTCCCTACTCTTAGAATTACCTTAATAAATTTCCGTACATCATCACGATATTTTGCATTCCATTCAGCCCACCTATGTCAAACACAAATCAGTAAGGAAGGAATGTCTTTCAATTTAACAATAGATTAACTTCTGCACAGAAGAATTGGTTTCTAGGACAGATGTAGTATCAGAAATGTCCCTGAAATCATCTTGTCAACATTAAATATAAAATTGAACTGATGCAGTTCAGAAGAAGATGTTGACCGTTGGTACAAAATAAGATAACATAATGTTTTAAATGACCAGTTCATGCTGAGGAGCTAAAAAAATATCATGTTCTGCAACCTTAAGGAATTCAATGGCAGAATTACAATCACCAAGTAACTTTCATGTTGATTTTTATGTGACATAACTTGTGTGCTTTCATTCTTAATCACTGGCAAAATTGCCAGTGGTGAAGGTCACATCACATAAATATAAGGCATGTCAAATATCATGATGGAAAGCCACTGAAATCAAGAATATATACGCAATATCTAGATCACAATGATAATGAAGCCTGCATAGGTGAAATTGTTTGCTTTCAATCACCTGAAGGGAGTGGCCTCGTTGACTGGTGAAGGATTATAACAGATTATTTATAACAATATTTACTTTACTTAAAACAAAAATCATTAATAACTAACAAACATACCGATCCCAATTTGGAAAACTTCCAACAAGATAGAGACCTCCACAGTCCCAAGGCTCTGCAATAATTTTACATCTTGATAATACTGCATCTTTAGCAATGGCCTGAAAAAGAAGTAAAACATCAAATTTCAAATACTCAATTTTCTGGTTGAGGGAGAGAACTACTACTGAATGATTGTTCTCAAATCTGGAAATTGTAGATGTGTTTCAAACTAATCTACTTAGATGAAACCAAATCAACAAGTAAACTCACTTAAATTGATGTTACAATTGGCACTCATTTTATTGAGTTTCTCAGATTCTTTTGGTTTGTAATATCAAATTAGGATAGCACTGGATATCCATCTGATGTGGAGATCTTCATTCCAAGGTTTGGAGCAAAAAGCCAGCATTTTTCCCTTTATCACTTTTGTGTGATAGGCAAGTTTTCAAATCCTTTCGTTGATTTTGGCTTTTGTGTATTTAAAATCAGTTCCTTTTTCCATTTTGCATAGGGACTAATTTGACCTTCTACGAGCCAAATTGGCTGATAAAATTGTTTCATAATTTTATATAGTTTTACTTGCTTCATGTTTGATCAAATGGAATTTTCATGTCACAAACCTATCGCCAGACTCTCTCTGCCTGTCTATATATATAGCTAATGCTGTGCATGCTTCCACCAGAATGCCAATAGCAGATAGTGAATAGGTAAAACTGCAAATTTGCAGATACTTAAATTAAATTGCTCAAGTTTTTCCCATTGTTTACTGCTTGGATATTAACATCCTGTGATAAAATTTGCACTCATTTTGTTCATTTATTTAGAATCCTGAAATCCGTAGGAGCTCTCTTTATATGTCTAAAACCCATACCAGAGACTTGATTAGACTGTTTTCAGTATGGATCTCTTCAGCTTGACACAAGTCTAGTTTTATTGGCCCCACAGTAAAATTAATTACACCAGTTCAGAGCTAAGAAGCATGGACACTAATAGAAACAATGCAGTGAAAACCTAAAATCTCCAAAAAACTTTAAATGTTGCATTATGTATGACAAAGATGTCCAACAAATGTCTGGCATTATTTTTGGATGATATGTGATCCCAAATGGACATGCAATACTGTTCCAGAAAATGACATCTGAGCTCATTAAATATAGCACTATTCTGCATATTAACTATTTACCCTAATAAGAGGGGGAGCATTTAGGGGGGAACCATCAATTCCTCTACACAGAACACTCGCAAGATCAAATCGAAATCCATCCACATGATATTCAGTGACCCTACAATAAAGTGAAAAAAATTAAAAAAACAAAATGGGGCTTCAATAGTCAGGAACTTGAAATTAAAAAAAAAATGGCTTACATTAGTTTGGAAATGTTGGTACTTCCAATTCTATCACGAATAGTGATTAAAAAAATAATAATAATAAAGACAGCTAGACATTACCAGATACTCATGCAAACAAACAAACCTTAATTAATACCAACTGTGTAGAAAAAAATCACAGAAAAAGAGGGTCGGACAGAAAGAAATCTTGACAATATAGAGAGCTTTATGAAAAATATGATACCTGAAAACTATAAATTCTGATGCATCAATTCTATGTAATACAAATGAACAAGGAGAAGCTAGTATTAGATGAATTCCAGCTTCCACAAAATAAATTGAGACATATACTATTCACAATGATAAAAATAACATTTTATAGTAACAGTCCTTACCAGTGTCTTAGACTGTCAAGGATCAGCTCCATGACCACAGGATGGTTACAATTCAATGTATTGCCTAAGGATAAACATTAACTTCAAGTGAGAGAGGACTTTAATATTTATACCAATATACTAAAATTTTGTTACTGAAAGTTAAAATAGAAGAGCTCTTAATTTTCAAAATAGTCACAGAAATAAAGTATTGCATATAAGATGTCGTCAAAAGAGAAAAAAGCACAGCTTGGCATAATGGAGCAGTTACTGTGCATCGTGAAAAACAAGAAATGGTTTGCAAATTATTCATAAAATGTAAGGGTACCCTGATGTTGCAAAAGGTTCCATTTAATAAGGAAATATGTACAACATAGCTTCAGGTATCTTACTCAGACTCTCAGCATTTTGTGTGAAGGTGGAAGCGAAGATACATCCCCGACACTTTGAGCACTAACAAAGTAGTCAAAATTGTGGTTCCTTACTTGTTGATTTCTTTCCATTACAACTGTGTCAAAATTGTGGTTTCTTACTTGTTGATTTCTTTCCATTACAACTGTGTGTGGATTTTTTTATTTTGGCAACCTGCATGCTTAGTGGGCTTGGCCAAACATGTCTAGGCTCAAATCTAGCTTTGGAATCAACAAACACAAGCCTAAGCCCACACATTGGGCCTAGACCATTTTAGAGGCAAGCTTATGTTTGACATAGGCAAACCCAAAAGCCCAACCCATTAAAATATTTGCACATAACTTTGTAAATATCTACTGTCTTCTTTTCTCCATTTTTTTTTGTCTTAGCCTTTGCCCCTATTGTTAGTTTTCTCTCAACTATAAGAGCAGACATAATAAAAATGCGTTAGGATCAAAATACCCTGGTTTACAAAAACAACATTGATTTTGAAATATATCAGTTTTTTTTTGTTTACAAAAATAGTCTTCATTCGCAATATGCACAAACTTTTTCAATTTTTCCCTTGAACAAAAAGTTCATTTTATAAGGGTTTATACCTGGACCATGCATGAGCTTAGGCCCAAGTTAACCCTAAGTAAGGGCCCAAAGAGAACTTGATTTTAGCCACCTTGAACTGGGCCCAGCCTAACAGCTTGTGGACAACTTACATGCTATCTATTACAGCTGTCTGGCTATTCATGTTATTGTTGTACTTTCATTGCCCACTTGATGTACCTAGTTATACCTGATATGAATGCTACTTGTTCTGTTTGCAAAAACAGTCCTCCAAAATTCATGGTTGGCTGACTTTCTACCCTGTTAGGGAGAGCAAGTGCCACCACATGCATATACAATATCAAATTAATATAGAAACCATTAAAATTAGCAAAATATATTCATAACTTAAGAATTGGCGTATGCAGTTGTAAACCATATGAAAAAGCTGCAAGGAGAGAATCCCAATGGTTGGACTAAAAATAAATTACCACAGCCAGAGTAGTTCAGCAATTGCCCATTATTGTCCAGCATGTAATAAACCTGTAGAAATGAAGAAAGTTTTCATACAGAAAAAAGCAAATCATTTTTCAACATTCTATATAGCTAAAGAAACTGTTAGTGAATAGATGAAAGCAAAACTACAGTGTTTCCAATGACAGGTGAACACCTCACAGAGAAACTCACAAGGAATGTATTTCATTGTTCTAGAATTTTAAAATGAGAGCAAGTTGGCGTTACATTTGTGAAATTTCTGAGTTGACTGGATTCATCAATTACTTTAAGATGATTTCGTTTCAGATGTTCATCAGTATATTTCTGAGTTGTCTATTTTACCTAATCTTGTATTTAACTTGTATACATAGCTTATGTTATGCTATTGTGGACTCATATCAATTAAATTCCATTAACTGTGTGTATGTGTGAAGTCTTTTCCGCACAAGAGTTACTGCAAGTATTCCAATATACAAATAAGTTATAGCATTGTCTATCAAAAATAGAATATTGAAATTACCTTATTATCTATGCCACGAAATGAAGTAGTGTAAGGATTGGCATCATCAGCCTCATTAGTATGATTGTAGACAACATCCAAAATAACCTGTGTATTGATAAAATTCATTACACATCCAAAATGTATTTAAGGGATGATATAAAATAAGACAGAACCAGGAAATCAAAATATAAAGCATGCTTCCACTCCAAAGTTGTGAGTTGTGACAGTGAAATCTTAACAAAACTACCTCTATACCAGCAGAATGTAAGGCTTTAACCATTTGCTTGAACTCTTGGGAAGCATTAACTGATCCTCCACCAGCACTAGCATAGCGACTCATAGGAGCAAAGAAATTTATTGTTGAATAACCCCATGTATTAATCTTGGAAACAAAATATAAGCATTAATGCCACTTAGCAAGTCAAAGTCACATACTTCTGATCTCTTCAATCATTAAAAAATAATAAATATCACAGACCATAGTTGGTGTTTTCGGATCAGAGTATTAACTTTGAAAATGAAAATATTGTTGTGCTTCCTATAAAAATTAAGTTATCAAGCATTAAATTTCTTCAGAATTCATGTGTAAACGGCCAGAGAGAAGACCTTTATTTTTATTTATTAGAAATACATAGTACATAAGGAAGAGCTTCTGTATGAAAATTTTGATACAAAAAACAAAGCATGATACTTTTCTAGTTTACCATGTGATCTCTAGGATTTGGACGCCTCTGGAATTCCAACTCATCAAACTCAAAGACAGGTAGCAATTCCACTGCATTGATACCAAGCTCTAGAAGGTGTGGGATCTTATAGGCAGCAACAAAACAAGTTTAAAGAAAGTATAAAAGGTCAATATGTATTCCACCAAGTGTTTGAAATTGCTACAGAATTTTAACATTACATTACAAAATTAACATCGTCCCTATATTCAAAACCCTGTCTTTGTCAGTATTAACTTCTTCTTTTTTCTCATTTGTCCATATTGGTTGAACTTCTGTTGGATCCAATGGAAAAACATGCTTTAATCCAGTTGATAAATATTATAACACAAGATTTTCATTTGGTCAAACCTACAGCGATTTGATAGATTTCAGGGAATCACTTGACTAGGAAATGTAACTCTTAAAAACTTATGCATATATAAGTTTTGATTCATATTCATCTTAATTACAACCAAATTATACCTTTTCAATCACACCAAGATAGCTGCCACGGATGCTTCTTTCCAAACCACTAGATTCATCAATTGTAAATGAACGGACATTCATCTCATATATAACAAGATCTTTCTGCATTGGTAAGACAGAAATAATGAACATTGAAGCATATATTAGACCTCATTCAATCAGAAACATACAATACGCAGTTATACCCTCAATCAAATGAAGACTACTAGACATCAGGTATAAAAGTATACAAAGCAAAGGTGGAATGCAAGTCATAGATGTAGTTATACTTATACCCATAATTCAGCTTGTATGAAGCCTTGTTCTAGGGAAAATATAGTGATAAATATCACTAATGAATAACAACAGTCATTTGTGCAGGTAAATAAATACCTGAGGAATATTTGGAAGCTTGTAATTTTCTCCCCAATCAAAAGGCAAACTGTGAAAATCATATGTTCCAAGAAACTTAGACAACTTCATGCTAATATCCCCAAAATATCTTCGACCTTCAATTAGTTTGGCATAAGGATCAACAAGCACAATGCTGCTGTCAAATCGATGCCCCTTACCCCAGTCTTGAGGTCCATCTATGCGATACCCGTACAGAACATTGATTCGAGGAAGATCCTGCACATCAATAATTGAAAATAAACTAAAATGCTACCATGTTTAGATAAACTATTGGGGGGGAGGGAGGCTTCTTTTAGTAGAATTTATGATAGAACCGGATCAGGATAAAGAGGACAACAGATGAAGCAAAGTGATGAAATGTGTGTATTATTCTCCAATATAACTCTTGTTTTTGGAAAGTGATGAAAATGAACTGGAGCCAGGGACGAATCACTGTATTAATGTTTTTGAAGACCCTGAACTCTCCCCACTCTCCAAGACAAGATAAATCTCTCTCAACCCCTCTTCTTATTTATAGGCAGCATGCCTTGTTTCTCCTCTAGTTATCGCAACCAACCAACCAACTAACTACCCTCTATAACGTTACTGACAAATGCTAATAGATAACACCAAACACAATAGACACCTGACAATTTTTTATAGATTTTTTTAAAAAAAAAAAAAAAAGTTCCCCCTCTTCACAAAAAAAAAAAACAGAAAGCAACATGCATGAACTCTGACAATCTGAGCAATATTGAACTTTGATAATAACAACAACAACCAAGTCTTATCCACTAAGTGATGTCATCTACATGGATCACACAACACCATTGAGCTCAATCAAAAACCAAAATTGAACTTGGATCAAATGGAAGAAAAACAATGTAGAGCCAAGGAGCTTGTACCTCAATTGGTTCCATTACTAGTCTATAAAAAAGGTAAAAGTAACAGCATTACCAACAATATAAGGATATGTACTAGGTAAATTAAGAGTATCTTGATGTTCATTCATTTATGCCACAGAACTTCATTTTCCAACAATATAAGGATATGCAACCATAAACCATTTTCAAGAACCTGTTCCACCATCGAATCAGATTGATGTTATTATTATAGCAAGGTGATTCACGTAAACAAGTCAAGCAGGAAGTGTGAAAGATTGCATGAAGAAATACCAATTAACATTTCATGGTCACCACACAAGAGTTCCATAGGTTCAAAATCAACCAAATTAACTCTCACAAAAACAAATCAATCAAGTTTCCTATGAGAGTATTGACAGATTTTATTTTTTTTAAATAGAAACATAATCTTTATTAGATAGAAAATAAGAAGAATTGCAACTAAAGGGAAGATAAGATAAGATATCCTCCAAAATGAAAGACATTATCAACAGATGTTTTCTCTTTTAACAAACTATTTCCTCCTCAATGAAATTTGTCATCCATATAGCCAAGGTACACATATTTCCATTTAAAATCAGGAGGAGGTGAATCAAAGGTTTATCAAAATTTAAATAGATGCTTTAATCTACATAGTTGTCGTGGAATATCCACGATTTGCATCAAATTTAATACATTAAGTTCTTTTACATTTATATCTTTTAACAAAGACCATCACCTTTCAAGACCAAAGAAAATCACGTGGAATACCAATCCAAGGTGATCATTCAAATAAACATGCTATATACTTCCCTCCGTCACTGACAACATTTTTCAGAAGAATGAGTGCTGCTAAAATAAAACTATATACTTGTATGTTCAATCAGACATTTCTGACACAAGATTACGGCTGGAAGATATTGGACAGAAATATGCAAAGTTTATACTTAAATACCCAGAAAAATGTTATCTATTTATGTAATTAGAAAAGCTACTCCGGTAATTGTGCAGGTGCTGTATTTTTTAAGCTGTTAAAGAACCTATAACAACCAAAGACCAAGGCAAGACTAAAGTTTAGGCAATCTAACAGAAGATACCTCAATACATATGTGCCAAATGTCCCCAGTTTTGTTCAAATCAGGATCCAAAGCCAGTTCCATCAAGTCACCATCCAATGTGCCAAAGCTTCCCCTAAATTACATTAGAACCAAACATGCAAAACAAAAGTAAACCAATGATTTTTATGGTTATAGTAGCTTCGAAAGAGAGTCAAAGCATAATGTTAAATGACTGCACAATCAGGCAATATTGCTGTCAGTAATATATCTTATCAAGACAAAGCACATTCATGTCACAAAATGACTTTGCATGCATCCACTAACCCCAACATATAATCATGCCACAGAAGAGACCCCCAATTAATTAAAGTGATATTGCATTCAAAAGGTATATTGGTCTTGAAAATGACCAGAAGGTATGAAGAATGAAATATTACAAAGATGCACAGCCTGCATTCACTTCAAACTTGAATCAAGACCTTAAAAGACAGAAAATACTCAAAATTTGTCTAATACAACATGAGGCTAAAGCTTTAATTTGACTGAGTAAGAAAGATTGAAGTGTAGGCCATTTTGTCAATCAGACTACCTAAAACTAAAAGCTGAAGTTAATAAACGAAAATGGATGGATTTTATAAATGTATAACCTAAACATCTATAAAACAAAGCTAAAATCAAAATTGACAGTGCACTTTGTCTTCCCGATGCATATCTCCATATGAAACCATTCTTGACACCTACCTAAATCTTGAGCCTACTTGAGACAGAAAAATAATTAGGGTAAAAACTGTATATACTTTCTTGTGATTCAGAGGTTCTTATAAGAGAAATCTGTACAAAACTAGATCCCTTGATTATAGGGATTGACTAGGTAATTACAGCAGAATCCTAATTACATTATTTACATAATCAATTAGATTTCTATATAAAAGGAAAGAAGGTAAATATGGAAATACAAATATTCTCAACACTCCCCCTCAAGCTGGTGCATATATATCATATGCATCAAGCTTGTTACAAATGTATGTTATCCTTGGACCTCGAAGTGCCTTGGTAAGCATGTCAGCTAATTGATCATTAGAGTTCACAAACGACGTAACAATCTCACCAGAAAGAACCTTTTGACGAATGAAATGGCAGTCAATCTCTATATGCTTGGTCCGTTCATGAAAGACAGGGTTAGAGGCAATATGTAAGGCTGCCTGGTTATCACAAATAAGTCTCATAGGTCCTACCTCACAAAACTTTAACTCAGCAATAAGCTGTTTTAGCCATACAAGTTCACATGAGGTATTGGCCATTGCTCGATATTCAGCTTCAGCACTTGATCTAGCAACAACATTCTGCTTTTTACTCTTCCAAGCAATTAGGTTGCCTCCAATCAATACACAATATCCTGAAGTTGATCGTCTATCACTTGGGCAGCCAGCCCAATCCGCATCTGTGTATGCAACAATATCAGTATGGTCTCTGTTTTAATAGACTAATCCTTTTCCAGGGGAACCTTTGATGTATCTCAGGATTCGAATCACTGCATCCCAATGACTATCACGAGGGGAGTTAAGAAATTGGCTTATAACACTGACCGGAAAAGATATGTCTGGCCTAGTCATAGTAAGATAATTCAATTTTCCAACTAGTCTTCGGTATTGATTTGGATCTGAATACAACTCTCCCTGATCCGGCATAAGTTTGACATTTGGATCCATAGGGGTATCAACTGGCTTACAATCCAACATTCCTGTTTCTTTCAAAATATCAAGAGCATATTTTCTTTGAGATATGGCGACACCAGTTTTTGATTGAGCTACTTCAATCCCAAGGAAATATCGCAATCGACCCAAGTCCTTAGTTTGAAAATGTTGAAACAAATGCTGCTTGAGTCGGATGATACCATCGTGATCATTGCCTGTGATAACAATATCATCTACATAGACAACAAGATAAATGCACTGGTTAGTAGAAGAATGTTTATAAAACACAGAATGGTCTGCCTCACTACGAGTCATCCCAAACTGTTGGAGAACTGTACTAAATCTCCCAAACCATGCTCGAGGACTTTGTTTAAGGCCATATAGAGCCTTACGTAACTTGCAAACAAATCCTTGGGACTCCCCCTGAGCAACAAAACCGGGAGGTTGCTCCATATAAATCTCTTCTGCTAAATCACCATGAAGAAATGCATTTTTGATATCGAGTTAGTAGAGGGGCCAGCAACGTGTGGCAGCTATGGATAAGAAGAGGCGAACTGAAGTCATTTTTGCAACAGGTGAGAAGGTGTCGCCATAATCAAGGCCAAAAGTTTGTGTATAGCCTTTAGCGACTAATCGGGCTTTAAGTCGATCAATTTGTCCATCTGGACCCACCTTAATGGCAAACACCCAACGACAACCGACAGTAGATTTCCCAAGAGGAGATGGAACAAGTGTCCAAGTCTGGTTAGATTCTAAGGCCTGCATCTCATCAATCATAGCCTGTCGCCATCCTGGATGGGAAAGTGCTTCCTGGACTGTTTTAGGAATAGTAACAGAGGAAATAGCAGACACGAAGGCACAATGGGAAGAGGATAAATGATGATAACTCAAGAAATTATAAATGGGATGAGGATTTCGAGTTGAACGTGTACCTTTGCGAAGGGCTACTGGCAAATCAGCAGGTGTGTCAGATGGATCCGGAGTAGGTAGAGCAACTGGCGTAGGAGATGGGCTGCCTGAATCTTCCAAAACTACGTCTTCTAGTGAAACAGGACGAGGTCTACGCTGGTATGTAGCCAGGGGACGAGGAATAGTAGGTGAAGAGGGATTAGGAGGTTCTAGCACATCAGAGATTGAGGAATTAGTGACAAGGGGAATATAGTAAGGAATGGGAAGAACTTGAGAAACTGAGTTTGAAGAGACTGATGTGGTGAAATATGGTGTGTCTTCAAAGAAGGTGACATCGGCTGACATATAGAAGCGATGACTGGATGGGGAATAACACCTGTATCCTTTCTGCACCCGAGAGTAACCCAAAAAGAGACATTTAACAGCACGAGCAGATAATTTGTCAAGTCCTGGAGTGAGATCATGGACAAAACAAGTGGAACCAAAAACACGTGGGGGAACCTTAAACAGAGAGTCATTAGGGAATAAAAGTGAATGAGGTACTTTGTTATTTAAAGCAGAGGATGGCATCCTATTTATTAAAAAGGTTGCTGTAAGGATAGCATCACCCCAAAATTTTAAAGGTACATTAGCATGTAACAAAAGAGTTCGAGCAGTTTCAATAATATGACGATGTTTTCTTTCTGTAATGCCATTTTGTTGTGGGGTGTGTGGACAAGTGGATTGATGCAACATGCCATGAGAAGTCATAAAATGATTAAAAGGTGCAGAAAAATATTCTTTGGCATTGTCACTGCGCAAGATTCGAATAGAACGACCAAACTGTGTTTGAATTTCATTGCAAAAATTCTGAAAAATTGTAAATAATTCTGAACGTTCTTTCATTAAGAAAATCCAAGTACATCTTGAGTAGTCATCAATAAAAATAACAAAGTACCTATGTCCTAAGATAGAATTAACACGACTCGGACCCCACACATCTGAATGGACAAGATCAAATGGAGATTTTGCTTGACCATGGACAGCACTTGGAAAGGAGGCTCGAATGTGTTTACCTAATTGGCATGACTCACACTCCATAGACTGTAAATGAGAGAGGTGAGGAACCATGTGCTTCAATTTATTTAGACCTGGATGACCTAGGCGACGATGCAAGAGAAGGGGGGAATCTGCAACAGTGCAGACAACTGAGGTAGTGGGCTGGAAATAATAAAGACCATGCGATTCAAATCCTACTCCAATCGTCTGTCCCGTACTCCGGTCCTGTAGAGAGAAAGATTCAGCAGTAAATGTTATGGAACAGTTATGAGTGCGAGTAAGTTGACTTACTGAGACTAAATTAAAGGGGCAACCAGGTAGAAGAAGAACAAAATTCAAGGATAAATTAGGAAGAGGGGTAGTTCGTCCAATGCCAATGGCATTAGCTTTTGAGCCATCAGCAAGGGTGATATGGTGTGCTGTTTTAGGTTGTGACAGTTTTTGAGAAAAGAGAAGGATTACCAGCTATGTGGTCAGAAGCACCAGAATCTAATATCCAGGGTCCAACAGACGATGAATGAGAGAAGCAAATTGTAGAGTTACCAGATTGAGTAGTGGCAGAGGAAGATTGTTGTGATGCTATCTTCAGCTGGAGGTACTCCTTGTACTCCATATCTGACAGAATATTTTGGTTGTCTCCTTCATGGTCAATTTGCTTTTTTACAGCGGAAGGCTGAGAATACGTCACATTGGCTGATTTCTCGGGAAACCCAATCAAAGAATAACACTTATCTTGAGTGTGGCCCATACGTTTACAATAGGAGCACTGTGGACGATTTCCAAAACTGCGACCTACTCTTCCACCACCTCGACCACGACTTCGACCTCCACGGCTGATCACATTAGAGAAGAATGCAGAAGACTCCAAACCTGGTTGGGAACCATTTCCTATCATAGTTTCCGGAGAGGGAACACGCAGCAGACGATCAATGAGATTCTCTGCTGTAGGTACATTGGAATTTGTCAAAATTTGGTTCCGAACAGATTCAAAATCTTTGTGAAGGCCATGAAGGATGAAGACCATGCACATGTTATCAATCTTGTCTAAGACTTTTTGAAGGTCATCACCTGTCAAGACCAATTTTACTTCATCAATGGTGGACTGTGCTCTGTTCAAATATGATGGGAGATCGTGATCTGTCATTTTAAGTGCAGCTAAATTATGTACAACATCATAGAGACGCTAAACATCATTTGAATAGACACTACGAGCTTTCTTCCATATATCGTAACATGTCTTATAAGTGCGAAAGTGGACTAACAACTTCGGATCAATGGACTGCCATAGAAGTGAAACTAACTGATAATCAGCCTTCTTCCACTGATCTCGTTCAGTGGAATTAATGTCACTTGCCGTCTTAGTCAAATGGTCAGAGAGACCTTGACCCAAAAACCATATTTCCACCGCAGCTTGCCAATCCATATAATTTTTCCCATTAAGTTTCTCTGAAGTTATGGATGGATTTCCAGAGAAGACAAAGGATACTGGATTTTTGTTTAAGGGTTCAGTGCTGTCAGGGGTAGAGGACTTAGTTGGGTCAGAATCCATGACTAAGCTTGGTGAGAGTCGGAGGAGACTAAACACAGCTCACCAACAGGGAAAAGGACACCCAGAACAGACAGAGGGTGTGCCGACGAGCTGAACAGGACCAGCGGCGAGACGAATGGAGTCGCGTAGGGCGGCGCGTGGCCTTCACGCGCCGACGGTCTGGTTTTCTGGTAAGCGCGCGTGGCGCGTGGAACACCGGGAGACGACGGCGATCGGTGGGACAGCCGATCGGAAGCTTCTCGAGCTAGTGCCGAAGTCTCAGGCCAAACGGTGGCCGGACGACGGGACAACTAGGGTCGGCAGTACTGTGCAGTACTGTAGATGATTTTATCAGGCCCACAGAAAGTGAGCTCTGATACCAACTTGAGACAGAAAAATAATTAGGGTAAAAACTGTATATACTTTCTTGTGATTCAGAGGTTCTTATAAGAGAAATCTGTACAAAACTAGATCCCTTGATTATAGGGATTGACTAGGTAATTACAGCAGAATCCTAATTACATTATTTACATAATCAATTAGATTTCTATATAAAAGGAAAGAAGGTAAATATGGAAATACAAATATTCTCAACAAGCCTCAATGCTTGAAGCTTTCTAAATTTATCTCAAAATCAATGCAAATCTTGAATCAACAATAACAACTAAGCATTATCCCACTAGTGAAGTTGGTTACATGAATCATGCAATGTCATTCAGTTCTGTCAAAAACCAAATGAGTAATCCACACACATGTTTCAACACGTTTTACACTTTTACATTAGTTGCCAAAGGCCTATGGCAAATCTTAAATCATCCTTACTGAAAAAGCTCTCACATCATGTATTACAGTTTTGTGCAAAACTGCAAATAGACAAATCGTTAAAAATATTGCAATGTTAGAAACGAAAGACTCATGACAAGAATGCTTATGCACAGCTAGAATCAAATTAAGTTTGAATTAATCTTACATAAAGAATATCAAAATTTACCTCCTAGGAAGGACTAAAGAAAGTGTGACAGCAGTTGCATGCTGTGAAAAAATAGCAAAATTGATGCCACTGTCAACTTCTGATACACCCAATGGATATGCCTGACCTGGGAAAACTTTCCACAATGGTCTGCTTTCTATCACTTTGGAGGCTTCTTGCTGGAAATGCAAACAGTAAGACATTACAACTTGGATACACTAAAGTATTTGATACATTGATAACCTTCAACAGCAGATATGCAATGTGGCACCTAACACAGCATTAAACTGTAGAAGAGCAACACATGTAAGTAAACATAAGCAAGAATATTTGCAACCAAGAGCCATGTTAAAAAATTTGATGCAAATTGCAGCATAATTGATAGGACTGAGCATAAAATAGCTATTAAATTAGTTAGGCAGTTATAGTTGTAAGAGCAAGGGGCTTAGCTTAAATTGTAGGAGTGGGGAAGAAAAGAGGGAATTTTTATCATGAACAGAACTGCCTGGCTGAAAAGGGGGGAATCCTCTGTTGAAGAGGATATCCTTGGAAGGAGAATTCTCTCCTTTTGTCTGTTTGTGTTTTCAGTATCAATAACAGATATCATTCACTCTTTGGGAGCAGGATCTTTCTTTTTATGGCATAATGATATGGCATCTTTCTTTTTAGGGGGGAGCGGGAGGGTGGCTAATAGGCTTACAGGTGATGTCACCTGGCTGAGAATTAATCACTGTGGATCAAAGTATCAAACAATCCTCTAAGAGACTAAGTGCCACTGTGGATCTTCCAGGTTTTGAGAGTGTTACCAACCAACATTGAATCTTTCATTGTCGGTACAAGGGTTTAGCAACAAAGTACTATAATTCCAAAGCTATGTGCTATTGTACTTTCACTCTGATTGTTGGACAACAAACAATTGCATCTTCAAAAGCCACTGACATTGCATTCTAACATGACTATAAATTGCAACTAACTGCAGGACCATTAAACTAGATGAAAATAATTTAAATTAACTGTAGAGATTCATGAGCAACAAAATTATCAAATATCTCAATTTTTTCCCTCTTTGGTCTGAACTGGGAAAAAGTCTTTCTTTGACCTGATGACTACGTAGTGAACTGGGAAAAAGTCATTCATTTTTGCAGTAAATTTCATAAATCATACGTAGTGAACTGATACAAATTCAAGCGATCAACCTAAAGATTCCTTGCATGAGATAGGAGGCTCAATGCCCAAGGCAAAGACTAAGAAAATGCAACAAGCTTTGCAAGACTTAATTATGGAGCTCAAGGTAAGAGAAGAGGTAATTTTGGTTCATAAGAATAAAATCCAAAACAGCGAATAAATTGTGATTTTACTTGTTTAAGCTCACGTTGATCAAGATTCAAAATAAGAGCAACCCAAAGAATTAACTTGAACAAATCATTGATTTTATCTTCAATATTTGAATTTAATTTGAGACTAATTTAGGATGTTTTATTAATTAGAGATATGTTTAAGTTAGAATATTCAATAAAATTATCTTAGATTACACAAAAATTATTATTTGAATTAAGTTAATTAAGAATATGTTTAAATTTGAATATTAAGATAGAGATAATCGCAAATTACACTAAAATACATATTTAATTTTTTTGCGTGTTCCTATAAACAAGAGTTATGTAAATAAGAATGATAAATTGAATCTAAATAATTAAGTTTTCTCTTGTGAAAGTTTTTCCATAATTATGGGGTCTAGAACTAAATTTTATAGTATTAGTTCTACCGGTTAGTCACAATTAGGGACACGCTCTTATCCGAAGGTTGCAGTTAAGATCAAATTCTTATCTTTCTATCCTTTGTTGGTTTTCAAGACGGTCCAATTTATTTCTGTGTTCGTATCATAAACTTAGAAGTCTTTGCATTCAATGACATGGAATTTTTGTCTTGGTCTATCTTTAAAGGATCCAAATAATTGGGGGAGGTGGTTGAAATGAAATATACTTTTTCAGGTTAACCAGAACATATATCAAACTTGACCGATAAGCCTTCACTACGTCAAGATGTACTAATGAATTTCACCAATTGATGTGGGATAAATAAATTGTAATGCATAGTGACATTTAATTTCACCGTTTTCACCCTTCTTTGTTTTCTTTGACAATAAAAACTTGAAATTTCATGGTCATCTCAAAAGCATTCAGACTAACATCAAAAATCAAAACGGTTCCTATCTTGCTTTTCGATCTTTTTTGCTTTCATGTGGACAGATGTACAATCATTATCGCGTTACATTACCTACACCAGTTGTTCTACAACCATTCTATCTGTTGTGGAATTAACCAGAGTTTTCTTCTTAAGGCCAGTGACATAAATACCTCAAGAACTCCTTCTTGAGCACCACCACCACCACCATTAGTTGTCCTATGCTTGGCACAGTCCCTTGCCTAACCTACGCAAAAATTTTCAATCATAATTTACCAAAACAACAAGAAATCAGTCGAAGTACTCGAGTGCATTATGATTACATGCCTCGCTAAAAACTCCATGTCCACTGTTCGATTTGCTTCCCGATGCTTGCGAGATAAACTTCAATCTAAAAACAAGATCAAATATCAATTCTCAAAACCACTTGCGCTTTCTAATAACAGTTGATGTAAAATTGAAAGTGAAGTACCTCAGGTCACGGACGGGCGAATTTCCGGCAAATGAATTACGCGCGGCGTTATTGCCGCCAGAAAGAACCGAAGCGAAGAGTGTGGATTGTGTGGCGATTCTTGAACTGCAGAGTAATGGTTGGTGAAGCATCTTGAATGAAGAAAAAGAGTTCAATAATTCGATTCTTGGAAGATTAGTTAAATCAAAGATGTGTAAGATTGGATTGCTTTGTCATGGGGAGTGAGAAGTTGAAGGTATCGAGATGCACGAAGCGTTCTTGTTATTTCTAGAGAAGCATGGAAGCAAGCATTGCGATATTCATGCCTGCCACGTGAATACTAGTTTGGGAACAGAGAACAGAACGTGACAACGGCCTCGAGTCCAGTATTGTATTATTGAGGGCATGAATCTGTTTCCCTGAAATATCTCACTCGTCACCTCTTACAGGCGTTTTTATATTGTGTTTGTGTCGGTAAAAAAGAAAAATCCTATCGTGTACAAGAAATATCTTTCTAATAATTCCATTTGTTTTTAATAAATAATTTTAATAACGGTAACATAAATAATATATATAGTTAAACATAATTTAAATGAAAAAATTAGAATATATATTTTCATAATTAAACGGTTTGTTTAAAAACAATTTAAAAATAGACTATTTTCAAAATATTTAAACATCAAAATCAATAGTTGGTCCAAATATATATAAATCATACACACTCAATTTTTTAAAAAATGAAAATTATACATATCCAAACTAGAATATAAGATTTTTAGAGTAAATAATGTTGTGCTTCTTTTATTTTTAATGTGAAAATTATATATTTTGAAGTTTCTGTCCTATTTGTTACGGGTTGTAAGAAATGGATTAGTTCGCCTCGTTTTTAAAAATAATGAAAAAAAAATCAGACTGATTTATTTGGGAGTGGGCTGATTTATCAAAGAATTAAATAACAAAAGGAAAAAATTTGAGTTGACAAGTCAGTGAGTTAACGTTCAGTCGTTCACCTGAAAATAATAATAACTTATGACAAATATTAAAACAGTATAAAATTAATAAATTTAGACTAATAAATAAATATTTTTTATTATTTTAACATTAAAAAAATTGATCAAACAAACTAATTCACTGTTAATATATATTTTGATAAATTAAAATAAGGTAAGTTAGGCTGATGTAACATATAGAATTAATGTCAAAAGTAGGTTAATTCAATTTTTTTAAAAGAAATTAATAAATATTATATTATTTTTAATAAAAAAAATATGTGTTTGTGTATTATTTTTATTAATAATTTTTTTAAAAAATTAATAAATATATTTTAAATGTAAAAAATATATATTAAAAAGTAAAAATTTTATTAAATTAAAATAAACTAACATTTAAATTTGTAAACACTCATTAATTTTTATTATGTTCGTAAATTACTTTTCTATGTTCATAAATTTAGTAATATTAAGTATCATATGTTTATAATAGCAGTGTTATATTTAATTTTTTAACATATTAAATTTTATTTAAATATATAATTTTAAATATTTTAATAAAATATGACTTAACAAATTTAACTAATATTTATTATTATTATTATTGTGTTTTTGTCGTGATTTTAAAATATTTAATCAACATGTGATATTTTTAAAATAATTTTATAAAAATAAATAAGCAATTTTTTATATAATAATAAATAAATATTATACTATTTTTTAGTAATTGATACATATATTTATTTATTATTTTTATTAAATTATTTTATTTATAAATAATAAAAAATTACATTTTAAATATAAAAAATATATTTTAAAAAATAAAAAGCTTTATCAATTATATCTAATAAATCTATTTTACTTTAAAATTAAATTCAATCAAATTAAGATAAGTCAAAATTTAAATTTATAAATATTTATTAAGTTCATAAGTTATTTTTTTTACATTTGTAATTTTCATGATGATGATATTGTATTTATTTGTTAATACATTAAATTTTATTTAAATAAATTATTTTAAATATTTTGATAGTAGATGATTTAATAAATTTAACTATTTTTTTTTAGTTTTATATCTTTATTATGACTTTAAAAGTATTTATTGAACATATAATAATTTAAAGTAATTTTATAAAAATAAATAAATAAAATATAATAATAAAAAATATATCAAAATGTAAAAAAATTTATAATTAATACTAAAATAAAATTATAAAATAAAATGTTAAGAAATTAGTTATAAAATTATATAAATAAAAATATGACTATAATTTAATAATTATCAATAATACAAATAAAAATTAAATACATATATAATTTAATTTGATAAAAAAATTATATTTTTATTTAATATTATTAAGCAAATAAATAATACTTTTAAAATTACGAAATAAATTATAAAAATTAATTATTTAAATCAATTATATATATATTTATTAATATAATATATTAAAATTAATAATTTTAAAATAAATTCAAGTTATTATTTGAATCAATAATATCATTTTTATTAATAAAATATGTTAAAATAAGTTATACGTAACTTTTTATATTATATGTCTTCATAAATTATTTAACATAAATTAATTAGTTAGACAACTAATTTATTAAAAAACTTATTTTTATAAATTATTTATATAGTTATAAACTTTCAATTATAAATTTGTAACTTTTAACTAATTTTATAAATAATTAAATTTATAACTTTTAACTAATTTTATCTTAAAGTATTTAAATTTTAAATTTTACTTCTGAGTGAACTTGTGTACTTGCACAATTTTGAGAGTTAAATGTCATTGCTTCGTTGTTGGTTTCTCTCTAAATTACTATTATTCTTTGTCAAATGTTACGTAGCATTTCATAAAATTATAAATGTTATTTATGGGTTTTTTTAAGTCAAGAAAGGGAAACGGATGGCAAGATGGGGTGGCCAGGATTTTCTATTTTGTTTTTAAGTTTTTAAAATATTAAAATAATATAAAATAAAAATATTTAAAAATTTAAATAAAATAAAATAATTTTTTTAATACAACTCAATTATTTTTTACTTATTAAAATAGAAAAATTCTACTGTAAGGTATACTATCCTCTCTGAATCTATTATATTTAATTTTATATTTAAAAGATTTAAAAATATTTTTTTACTAATTAATACTTAAAAAATTTTAATTATTATTATTAAAAGATCTTTTAGTTTTTAGTTTAAAGTTTTATGAAAAACTTTTCAATTAGTTCATTTTTTAAGATTCTTTTTATTCCAATGTACGGTGAACACCATGCATTATTCATTCACTTCTCAGATATTTGAAGATTGATGGAAAAGATTTATGGTTAGTCCATTTCTTATGATTCTTCTCATTCTATATACACTGAAGACACTCTCATTCTTTTTATCCTTACCTGCAATTTTGAATCATTATTCATTTTTAGGCTCCTTGCATTTTTCTGGAATAATGAATCCTAAATCATACATTGCAGAATTGTGATTTTTGTTACAAATTAAAGAAATATTCGTGTCTTGTTTGTGAATCTCTCTTGCTCAGGTAATTTGTGAATATGGAATTTCAATGCACCATTTGTATTGTTGCTGGATTTCATACATTAGTTAAATTTTGAATATAATTTTTCGCTTGGCATCAATGATCGTCACTTTTAGAAAAGAGAACTTCGTTTTCCTTTAATTTATTCACAATATCCACACATGTATATCAATTCCTTTATCTGTTTTTTCCATTTGATTATTAATTTGAAGCGATAGTCCCCATCTTGCTTGATTTTGAATTTCTTGCAATTGTTTCTTTGGAGTTTCAAACTTTCCCCCTTGTACTATTTCCCATACAAAACTATACAGAAAAACAAGGTCTAAAAAAATAATATAAAAAATAAGAAAGTCAATGACATAGATGAGAAATTTGAACATAATTGTGATGCATTTTTATAGTTAAAGGATCTGAAAGATTATTAAATGACACATTAAAAAATGACAAAAAGGTAAGATGAGTTAATTGTCAGACAATCATCTCTGATAAATTGTTAAAAGAAACGTTAAACGATTCAAGGTTTGAAAGCTTTCTTAAGAAAGAGTGAATGTTGCCAATAAGCATGCTATTGGATAAGTTAAGCATAACAAGGCCCATTAAGTCTCCTATCGCCTATGGAATCTCTCTAGAGATTTTGTTACATAAAATATGAATGACTATCAAATAATAAAATTGTTAGAGCCTCTTATAAACCATGACCCTGCCTTTGTTAAATATTGGGAATGCATAATCAACACATTCAGGGCACCAAGGTTACTTTCCTAGCCTTCCACGTGTTAATTCTTCATATTGTAATTGAAACTATTGGAAGCTTTCATGCAGTTCAAATGTCTCAGTTCACATTATCAACTAGGAAAATAATTGACATTATTATTTGATATATACAAATGTCTCAATTCAACCATGTCCTAGAAAAAATTTGGAACCTCAACCAAATTACACGAAGACAAAACTAACACTTGAATTGGAAAAAGGCTTACATTGAAAGAATTTTCTTCATTAATTAATGACAACTTATTGAGTGATAAATCACAAAAAGTAGCATTTTGAGCTCTAGAAATTTGTCAAGCTCTAATTCCCCCTCCAACAAATTATTGGATAGACTAAGAGATTCCAGGTTCTTAAGTTTGAAGAGAGTTTTTGGGATTTGACCTGGAAGATTATTATCTGCAACATCCAAGAAAGCTAAATTGGTTAGGTTCATTATCCAAGATGAAATTTCTCCACTTAAATTGGTATAGGATAGATATAAAAAAAAGTTAGCCGGATGAGATTCATCAAACATAATGGGATCTTGCTGCCAAAGTGCATATACATTTTAGGTGTAAGTCATTTATTTTTCACAGCTTATAAATCCATAAGGTGGTCTCAATAGTAAATTCGTTAGAACCAACTATCAAGTGGTGTAATTTGGTAAGATTTGCCATGTATGAAAAAAGTTGGCCCTTAAATTTGTTGAATGAAAGGTTGAGACATAAGTTGAGTAAGATTGCCAAGTGAAGAAGGCATAGATCTTGAAAAATTACAATTTGAAATTAATAATCATATTAAAGAGTTTAGTTTTTCAATGGATGTAGGTAGTGTACCATAAAAACTTGTGTCAGCGAGATGTAACATACTAGTGAATATAGTTGAGTAAAAATTAAGAAATTTACTTTTGAGGTTTTGGTTAAATCTCAAATTTAGAATTCTTAAGTTTAGAAGATGGAATATTCCAGCTTGGAAATTCTCCATAAAGTTCACAATGTTAAAGAGTGAGATATTGCAAAGATACAAGATTTGTGAGTATATCAAGTATCGTTCATATAACGAAGACAAAGTATTTCGAGACTAGTTGAGTTTTGAATTAAGCTTTTTAGAATGGATATTTTGGAATTCAAAGCATTTAAACCAAGATTAAG